CTAAGAAACCTATGGGAAACAGCAAAAGCAGTCCTGAGGGGCAAATTTATTGCTCTCAGTGCCCTTATCAAGAAATCAGAGACAGACCAAGTAAATAATCTCATGATGCAATTAAAACTGGTAGAAAAGCAAGAAAAAATTGAAACCAAAGTTACTAGATGGAGTGAGATAACCAAAATAAGAGCTGAACTTAATGATAGAGACTAAGAAAACTATAAATAAAATTAATAAAGCAAAAAAGCTGGGTTTTTATGAAAAAAAATCAATAAAATTGACAGACCTCTGGCAAGATTAATTAAAAAAAGAAGCGAGGAGACCCAAATCAATAAGATCAGAGATGCTACAGGAAAACTTACAACAAATACTCAAGATATCCAAACAATTATAAAGAACTATTTCCAGAATCCATACTCACTAACGAAGGAAAACCTAGCAGATATGGATGAATTTTTAGAGAAATACAAATTGCCCAAACTCAACCAAGAAGAAATAAATCAATTAAATAAGCCAATAGCTTACAATGAGATAGAGGAAGCAATCAGAAACTTTCCAACAAGGAAAAGCCCGGGACCAGATGGATTCAGAACGGAATTCTATTAAGACCTTTAAAGAGAAACTAATACCCATACCTCTCAAATTACTCAAAGAAATAGAAACAGAGGGAGCAACCCTAAATTCATTCTATGATGCCAATATCACATTCATCCTAAACCAGGCAAAGACCCAACAATAAAAGAGAACTATAGACAAATCTCTTTGATGAACACAGATGTAAAGTTCCTCAATAAAATTTTAGCCAACAGCATCCAGAAACATATAAGAAAAAATCATACATTATGATCAAGTAGGCTTCATCCCAGAGATGAAGGGATGGTTTAAAAGCCACATACAACCTACCAATAGCCAATCTTATATTAAACAGGGAAAAACGACAACCAATTCTCCTAAAATCAGGAACAAGGCAAGTATGCCCACTGTCTCCACTCCTTTTCAATATAGTTCTGGAATCTTCAGCCAGTGCAATAAGGAAAGAAAAGGACATTAAAGGATCTGCATAGAAATTAAACTATTCCTATTTGCAGATGACATGATATTATACCTTAACAATCTCCGAAACTACAATCCCAAACTCCTAGAGCTTATAAACTACTTTGGCAAAGTAGCAGGATACAAAATTAACCCACAAAAATCAGCTGCCTTTCTGTACACCAACAATGTATAATCAGAAAGGGAAATGAAGGAAATAACCACATTCACAATAACCTAAAAAAAAAAAATCTAGGACTTAATCTAACCAAAGATGTAAAGGAACTATTTAGTGAAAACTATTAAAAAAAAAAAAAAAACTATAAAAGCCTAAAGAAAGAAATCATAGAGGACACCAGCAAATGGGAAGACTTTCCATGTTCTTAGATAGGCAGAATTAATATAGTGAAAATGGCCATGATATACAAATTTAATGCAATTCCCATCAAAATCCCAATGACGTTCGTTTTTTTTTTTTTTTTTTTTGGTCGGCCGTGGGGCTTGAACTCTGGGCCTGTCCCTCAGCTCTTCAGCTCAAGGCGAGCGCTCTACCACTTGAGCTACAGCGCCACTTCCAGTTTTCTGGTGGTTTATTGGAGATAGGAGTCTCACGGTCTCTCCTGCCCGGGCTGGCTTTGAACCGCGATCCTCAGATCTCAGCCTCCTGAGTAGCTAGGATTACAGGCGTGAGCCACCAGTGCCCGGCCCCAATGACGTTCTTTACTGAAATAGAGAAAACAATCCAAAAATTCATATGGAACAATAAAAGATCTAGAATAGCCAAAACAATTCTAGGCAAAAGAAACAACTGGGGGGGGGGGGGCGGGCAGGGGGAGGATGGGAAGGGATGGGAAGGGGAGACCAAGGAGGAGGCTACAATGCTTGATAAGAGATGTACTCATTATCTTGCCCATGTAATTGTACAGTATTTTCACAAAAAAAAAAAAAAAAAAAGAAACAAGTCAGGAGGGATCATAATACCAGATTTCAAGCTCTACTATAGAGCCATAATAACAAAGACAGCTTGGTATTGGCACAAAAACAGACCCAAAGACCAATGGAACAGATTAGAAGATCCAAAAATAAAATCACATACCTATAGTTAGCTGATATTTACAAAGGAGCCAAAAACATACAGTGGAATAAGTATAGCTTCTTCAACTACTGATGCTGGGAAAACTGGACAGCCACATGCAGAAAACTAAAAGTGGACCTCAACCTGTCACCATGCACTAGCATTAACTCAAAATGGATTAAAGACCTTAACATCAAACCTGATACTCTGAAACTACTGCAGGACAGAGTAGGGGAGAGACTTGAACTTACAGGCACAGGCAGGAACTTCCTGAACAGACTCCCAGGGTCACAACAAATTGGAGAGAGACAAGACAAATGGCATTACCTTGAAATAAAAAGTTTCTGCACAGCTAAAGACATAGCAACCAAACCAGAAAGACAGCCAACTAATTGGGAAAAAATATTTACCAGTAATATAGCAGACAAAGGCCTAATATCTATTATATACAGGGAACTCAAGAAACTAATCCCTCCCAAATCTAACAAACCAATCATTAAATGGGCACAGGAGCTAAAGAGAGACTTCTCAGAAGAAGAGATAAATATGGCAAAGAAACACAGTAAGAAATGATCATCATCCCTACTTGTAAAAGAAATGCAAATAAAAACAACCGTGAGGGGGCTGGGAAGGTGGCTCAGTGGTAGAGCGTTTGCCTTGCATGCCTGAGGCCCTGAGTTTGATTCCTCAGCACCACATAAGCAAAAAGAAAAAAGCTAGAAGTGGCGCTGTGGCTCAAGTGGTAGAGCTGAAGAGCTGAGGGACAGCGCCCAGGCCCTGAGTTCTGGCCCCATGACAGGACCAAAAAAAAAAAGAAAAAACCCTGAGGATAACACCTTACCCCAGTCAGAATGGCCCACATACTAAAGTCAGCCAATGACAAATGCTGGAGGGGATACAGAGAAGGAGGAACCCTGTTTCACTGCTGGTGGGAATGTACACTAATATAACCATTTTGGAAAGCAGTCTGGAGGTTCCTCAGAAAGGTAAATATAGGCCTCCCCTATAACCCAGCCATGTCACTCCTAGGCATCTACCTTGAGCAACAGGAACCAGGAAACAAGGACACGTGCCTCCATGTTCATGGCAGCACTGTTCACAATAGTCAAGATATGGAAACAACCCAGATGCCCCACTACAGATTAATGGATCCAAAAATTGTGCTACCTATATACAATGGAATATTATGCAGCCATTAGAAAGGCAAAATAATGGCATCTGCAGGGAAATGGAACTAGAAGAAATCACTTTGAGCAAAGTGAGGCAAGAGCAGAGAGACAAACGGCACATGGTCTCCCTGATATGTGGATGTTAAATCCAAAATGCAAGGATATGACAAAGTAAACAGGACTCGAGAAACAAAGGACCTCCACTAAATTTGTCGTATCATTTTTAATTGATTCTATATTCTTGACCACATACAAGGTATATATGTACACATCTGAGGGAAGCTAGGAGGAGGGCACAGAATCAGAGGGAAATGGGAAAATATACAACAGAGGGTGTATAACTGATTAAAACAAACTAAGCAAGGGCTGGGAAGGTGGCTCAGTGGTAGAGCGCTTGCCTTGCATGCCTGAAGCCCTGGGTTTGATTCCTCAGCACCACATAAGCAAAAAGAAAAAAAGCCGGAAGTGGCGCTGTGGCTCAGGTGGTATAGCACTAGCCTTAAGCTGAAGAGCTGAGGGACAGCGCCCAGGCCCCGAGTTCAGGCCCCATGACCTGACCAAAAAAAAACAAAAAAAACTAAGCAAGAGTTCAAGCCCAATGACTGACGGAAAAAAAAAAAAGAGAGAGAGAGAGAGAGAGAGAGACTCTCTGGGCAATATTTATGCCTGAGCTGGCTTCAAACCTGGGTCCTCATCTTAGCCTCCTGAGTAGCTTGGATTACAAGCATGCATGAGCCACTGGTGCTTGCCTAAAAGGGAATTTTATAAAATCACTTGAAGTAAGTGGTAAGTTAGATTTTTTTTTTTTGGTGTCTCTCTGTGTTCTGAAGGAGACTAGGTCTATGCTTCCTCTTCATAATTGGCCTTTGATTTCCCCTGATTTTTGATGGTTTGCTTTTCTATTAGGTTTAAGTATCCTCATCTGGTTTGCTTTGCTCATGTAAAACACTTTTGTTGGGTTTGACTCTACACACCTTATGTGGATTTGGCCTATATAAAGTTTGTGCTAGCTGCATTCAGGGCTGCTGGTCTTTGAGACATGAGTCCACCAGCAGTCCTCCAGCTCTCCAATAGACTCATAATTTGGCCTTTTTTTCTTTTTTTGGTCGATTGTGGGGCCTGCACTCTGGGCCTGGGTTCTGTTCCTCAGCTCTTCAGTTTAAGGCTAGCACTCTACCACTTGAGCCACAGCACCACTTCTGGCCTTTTCTGCTCATGTGGAATCGAACCCAGGGCCTCATGTATGCAAGGCAAGCACTCTACCACGGAGCCATCTTCCCAGCTAATTTGGGCTTTTAAGTGGTGGCTTCTCTTATCTTGCCAACTAAGTTTCCTTACAGCAGTTCTAAAGCCATGAGCATGTAAGTGTTGGGACTCTGGTGCTTGTGTCTAAGGATAGCTGGATCCAGGATGGGAAAAAGCATTTCCAATTTGCTCTCTGCTTGGGAGGATCTATGTCCAGCACTGGAAATCAAGGAATAAGACCTGGTATAGCCCATTTACAAGCAGAAAGGTAGCACTTAACAAAGAAAATAGTGACAAGACTAGACTAATGTAAGCTGCCTTAGATAGCAACAGCCTATGATATAATAGCCTATAAATGCAGAAATAATCTGGTCTGCTTATGTGTTCTTTACTTTATTTGATTCAAAGAAAAAAATGAAAGCAAAACTAGACTCCTATAGAGGAAATAGGACACTTTCTGTTTGGACTGAGATGAGCTGACTTACCTCAAAAGTCATCTCCAGGAGGTTTTTGGGAATCTGCATTACTCCTGTATCTCCTAGCTCTCCTGACACACAGATCCAGGGGTTTGAAGTGATGATCGCATTGCTCAGCTTTTTAATTGGGATGATCACTGACCTATAGGGAATCACTGAAAGAAAAAGGTAGAAATTCATGAAAAAATATAATTAGAGATTATTATCTATGTATGCATCTATGTATCCACCCATGAATCCAATCTATGTATCAATATCTATTAATTTGCTTTTCAGAGATAACTTGCTTTGTATGATTTTTTTTTTGCTAGTCCTCGGGCTTGAACTCAGGGATCTGTGCACTGTCTCTGAGCTGCTTTTGCTCAAGTATAGCACTCTACCACTTGAGCCATAGCACCACTTCCGCCCTGGCTGGCTTTGAACCAATGCAATCTTCAGATCTCAGCCTCCTTAGTACCTAGGATTAAAGGCATGAGCCACTGGCACCTGGCTCCTGAGCTTTCCTGTTCAAAGCTAGTGCTCTACCACTTGAACTACAACTCCACTTCTAGCTTTTTGGTGGTTATTCAGAGCCTAAGCGTATAGGGGTTCTACCCCCTAGCTTTTCTGTTCAAGGCTAGCCCTCTACACTTGAGCCACAGCTCTACTTCTGACTTTTTTCTGGTTAACTGGAGATAAAAGTTTCATGGGCTTTCCTGCTTAGGCTTGTCTTCAAACCATGATCCTCAGATCTCAGCCTCTGGAGTTGCTAGGATTTCACAACAGGAATAAGCCACAGGAACCCAGCTCAAACTGGGTTTTCTGGTGGTTTATTGGAGATAAGAGTCTCATGGACTTTCCTGCCAGGGCTGGCTTTGAACCATGATCCTCAGATCTCAGCCTCCTGAGTAGCTAGGATTACAGGTGTGAGCTACCATGCCCAGCTGACTTTTTTGGGGGGGGGGCGGGGTTACTAGTACTGGGGCTTAAACTCCATGGCCTGGGGTGCTATCCTTTAGTTTTTTCCACTGAAGCCTGGAGCTCTACCACTTGAACCACAACTCTACTTCTAGCTTTTTGCTGGTTAAAGATTAGAGTTTCAGGGATTTTCCTGCCTGGGATGACAATGAACCATGAACCTCAGATCTTAGCCTCTTGAGTAGCTAGGATTACACGTGCGCATGAGTAAACTGATGATCATACTGACAAGGTTCTTCTAATGATGGGCCACTAGATGTCACTGTCCTACCACAGATCTTGGCTCAAGCTTGGCAGCATGAAGTTAGACATATGTTTTGTCTTTTCAAATGGGGTTAACTCAAACTTATTTGTATATCTGCGCGTATGCATGTGCATGTGTACATTGGTACTGGGACTTGAACTCAGTTGTGTGTACAGTACCTAAGCTTTTTCACTCAGAGCTGTTATTCTACCACTTGAGCCACAGCTCGGTATCTGGGTTTTTTCAGTGGTCAATTGGAGACAAAAGTTTCATGTACAAGCCTGGGCTGGCTTGGAACTGTGATCCTCAGATCTCAGCCTCTGGAATAGCTAGGATTACAGGCGTGAGCCACTGATGCCTGGTGAATCAATACTTTTGGCTGCTTTCTATAACTTTCTGGGATTTCTACACAGTCCCAAGAGAGGCATTAGGACTCATCCTAGAGACAGATGCAAACAGGATGGGAAACTCACTCCAGACAAGGCAAAATAGATGTAGCCTCACAATATGAGCTCAAGATCAGCCAACTCATATCAGGAAAGTGGGTAGGTAAATGGTTCATCTCCCTAAATGTACACAAATGACTATCTGTTGGGTGGACAAGCTCCTTTCTGATCCTTTTATTTTTGCTGAAGGGAGGAAATTGCTAGAGAAAGCCCATCCTTTCATGGTTTAGTCAAATGACTTTTGAAATGGAAAGCAGAAGGGGGTGCTAGAGATGGCGTTCATGTCTTGCATTGCTAGGATTAGAAAAGGCCAAGGTAAGGTCAGCAGTCAGGGCTGCAGAGGCCTACAAAGGCACAACAGTGACTTCACAGTTTAAGTATAAAAATAGCAATCTTATTAAACCAGAATACTTTTTTTCTCATGAAGCAGTTAAAGAGAAACCTAGGAATCCTAAATGGGTTTTTCTTCTTTTATTTTTTTTTTTTTTTTTTTTTTTTTTTTTTTTTTTTTTCTGTGTTTAGGTGGTTTATTTTTGGTTTGTTTGCTTTTTGTTGTTTTTTTGTCAGTCATGGTGCTTGAATGTGGGGCCTGGATGCTGTTCCTGAGCTCTTTTGCTCAAGGCTAGCATTGCTCTATCACTTGAGCCACAAGCTCCACTTCTTGTTTTCTGATGGTTAATTGGAAATGAATCTCCTGGACTTTTCTGCCCCAGCTGACTTTGAACCTCGATATTCAGCCCACAGTCTCCTGAGTAGCTAGGATTATAGGCGTGAGCCATCTGCACCCAGATTCTCTCTTTAGAGACAGAGTCTCACTATGTTTCCCAGGTTGGCCTTAGCCTCCTGAATAGCTAGGACCACAAGTGCGTGCCAGGGAATCACCTTTCGCTTTATAAAGAAAACCAGGCCCGGTAGAGTGTGTGACATGGGCCAAGGTCTGGTCTGGGTGACTGAGAGCTGGTTGCACCCTGGCCTTTCCCCACTAGAGCCCAGGAGTGGGATGTGGCATAACCATGGGCAGATAAGCCCTGACTGCACAGCTTGATCATCCTCCATAGGAAATGAAACAGAAGGTGTGGAGGAAGGCTCCCCGCCCAAACAGGCCTCCCACAGCCTATGACAACCTGGACCTTACTCAGACTCAGGACAGAGGAGTCCCCACAGACCGTGCCCTCTCCCTGGAACACAAAGAGGAAGGAAACATTTTATCTCCAGGTCACTGTGCACGGGACATTTGGGCCCAGTCAAGAGTCTGGCTTGATGGGTGGTGCCCAGATGAACACTACAAAGGAGCAATAGAAAGCATGCTCTCTCAGCCTAAGCTCCACGGCTGGACTGCAGGCCAAGTTACATGTCTGCTGCGTCCCTTTCTCGGCACTGGCTGAGCCTGGCTCACTGAGCTAGGATTACAGGTGTGAGCCATTGATGGGCACCTTTAGAATCAAGGAGGCATTGGTTCTAGGAAGGGTGAGTGAATGACAGTAAATAATACCACAAGGCTGGATGTCAGTGGCTTAAGCCTGGAATCCTAGGTACTCAGGAGGATGAGATCTGAGGATCACGGTTCAAAGCCAGCCCAGGCAGGAAAGGCCCTGAGACTCTGATCTCCAATAAACCATTAGAAAACCAGAAGTGGTGCTGTGTGTGGCTCAAGTGGTAGAGAGCTGGCCTTGAGCTGAAGAGCTGAGGGGCAGCGCCCAGGCCCAGAGTTCAAGACCCACAACCGACAACAAAACCAACAGCAGTTCGTGACAGCCCACCTGATCAACACCTGTGAGTTCATAGTCATACCAATACTTGAAAAAGTACTTAACTGAACAACAGCCAGCTCCTGTTTACAGAACAGCAATAAAACCACAAACCACGGAGGCAAGCAACTCCTTAATAACTGTTGCCAGGAAAAAACATAGGAGGATGCTAACATCAGTGGCGTAAAAACAGACTTAAACACAGAACGCAACAGCCAGTCACCCTGGCTACTCAGGAGGCTGAGAGCTGAGGACCGAGGTTCGAGGCCAGCCCCCGGGGCCGGAAAATCAGGCAACTCAACCTCCAATCAACCACCCAGAGGCCCAGGAGCGGCGGTGTGGCGCGGGCCGCGCACCGGCCCTGGTGGAAAAGCTCCGGGGCAGCGCGGGCCGCGAGCGGGGCCCCTCGATCGCGCAGGCCCGAGGCGCCAGCGGGCCAGCCCCGCCGCGGCCTGGCCCCGCCGCGGCCTCTCCACCCGCACGCCGGTTTTTCTTCTTTTAAAACTGCAATGCTACATGCAAGTGACTTACGCCTATAATCCTAGCTACTCAGAAGGTTGAGATATAAGAATAATGATTCAAAAGCCAGTCAAGGCAGCAAAGTCTATGACTCTTTACCACCAAAAATACAGAAATAGAGCTGTAGCTCAAGGGGTACAGCACAAGCTTCAAGATAAAAGCTAAGTGACAGAGTCCAGCCTCTGAGTTCAAGCCCCAGCACTGGCACAAAAACAATGAAAATGTAAATAATATCTTGAGACTTTTTTTTTTTTTGCCAGTCCTAGGGCTTGAACTCAAGGTTTGGGCACTGTCCCTGAGCTTCTTTTGTTCAAGGCTGGCACTCTACCACTTGAGCCACAGCACCACTTCTGGCTTTTTCTGTTATTTGGTGCTAAGGAACCGAATCCAGGGCTTTGTGCATGCTAGGCAAGCACTCTATCACTAAGTCATATTCCAAGCCCCCCCCCCCCCCCTCTATTTTTGAGATAAGGTCTTGCTACATTATGTAGTCCAGGTTGGCCCTGAATTTATGATCCTTCTGCCTTAGCCTCTTACCTTCTAGGATTACAAGAGTACATCAGCATGCTCTATCTTTACTCTTTATATTCTTCCCATCCCCTGCACTGGGGTAAAATGCTGGACATAAGAAATGGTATTCTGGATTCTTTTTGTTGTTGTTATTGGTTGTGGGGCTTGAACTCTGGGCCTGGGTGCTGTCCCTGCGCTCTTCAGTTCAAGGCCAGCACTCTACCACTTGAGCTGTCACAGCACCACTTCCAGTTTTCTAGTGGTTAACTGGAGGTAAGAGTCTCATGGACATTCCTGCCCAAGCTGGCAGATTTCAGAGGCCTCCTTAGTAGCAAGGATTACAGGTGTGAGCTACTGGCACCCAGCTTGTATTTTGGATTCTTAAACCTGTAGTAACCTCAAAAACAGGTTGGTCCTACTAGTAGACAATATAACTGCCTTTCTCCTTGTTTGTCTCTACCAGAGACTTGAAAGCCAAATCTTCATAATTCTGGCCTATGAAATGTTAATGATGTTTAGTGGGATACTTCTGGAAAATTAGTTTTTTTAAACACAGATCCTAAAGATTTATGTGTAATGGGGTTTGAACTCAGGGCCTGAGTACTGTTTCTTAGCCTTTTCATTCAAGGATAATGGTTCATTCAAGGATGACGCTCTACTTCTTGAGCAACAGCTCACTTCAAGCTTTTTCTGTAGTCTCACAGGTTTTCTGCCTGGCTGGCTTTGAACTCTGTCTGATCCTCTGATCTCAGCTTCTTGAGTATTTAGGAATACAGGTGTAAGCCACAACACCTGGCTGCAGTCTCACTTTTGAAAACATGATTCCCCTTTCTCCAGACTTACTGATGGTTGTAAAGACGCTGGTGAAGCAGAAATAGTCCACAGCATTGAGGGAGAGGAGATGGTACAGAAACTGCTCTCTCTCTTCTTCACAACGCAGGAAAGCATAGCGCTTATAGAGCTTCCTAAAGGGGAAAACAAACACATGATATACTTTCCATTATGCCTTGATTCCAAATTAATACATCTACCATATAAAACAAGAGACTTTCATCTCATACAGACAATTCAAACAATGAACATATCAACAGTTAAAGACTTTTTTTTTGGGGGGGGGGGGTCTGGTCCTGGGGCCTGAACTCTGGGCCTGGGAACTGTCCCTCAGCTCTTCAGCTCAAGGCTAGTGCTCTACCACTTGAGCCACAGTGCCACTTCTGGCTTTTTTCTTTTTTCTTATGTGGTGCTGAGGAATCCAACCCAGGGCCTCACGCATGCAAGGCAAGCACTCTACCACTGAGCCACCTTCCCAGCCCCCAGTTAAAGACTTTTGTTGTTGGTGGTGGGGCTTGAACTCTGAGCCTGGGTACTGTCCCTTAGCTCTTCAGCTCAAGGCAAATGCTTTACCACTTGAGCTACAGTGCCACTTTCAGTTTTCTGGTGATTTATTGGAGATAGGAGTCTCATGGACTTTCCTGCCAGGGCTGGCTTTGAACCATGATCCTCAGATCTCAGCCTCCTGAGTAGCTAGGATTACAGGTGACTTTTTTGGGGGGGAAGGGGTACTAGTACTGGGGCTTAAACTCCATGGCCTGGGGTGGATCCTTTAGTTTTTTCCACTGAAGAGCTCTACCACTTGAACCACAGCTCTACTTCTAGCTTTTTGCTGGTTAAAGATTAGAGTTTCAGGGATTTTCCTGCCTGGGATGACATTGAACCATGAACCTCAGATCTTAGCCTCTTGAGTAGCTAGGATTACAGGTGCCCATGAGTAAACTGTTGATCATACTGACAAGGGTTTAAAAACAATGGCAGAAGCTGGTGCTAGTAGCTCACTCCTGTAATCCTAGCTACTCAGGAGACTGAGATCTGAGGATCTCGGTTGAAAGCCAGCCATGGCAGGAAAGGCCATGAGACTTTTATCTCCAATAAACTACTGAAAAAGCCAGAAGTGGCACTGTGGTTCAAGTGATAGAGCACTAGCCTTGAGCTGAAGAGCTGAGAGACAGCACGCAGGCTCAGACTTCAAGCCCCACAACCAAGGAAAAAAACAACAACAATAACAATAACAAAAAAACAATGGCAGAGCCAGGTGCCAGTGGCTCACACCTGTAATCCTAGCTGAGTAGAAGTTCAAAGCCAGCCTGGGCAGGAAAGTCCAAAAGACTCTTTTTTTTTCTGCTGGTTGTGGGGCCTGAACTCGGCCTGGGCGTTGTCCCTCAGCTGTTCAGCTCAAGGCTAGTGCTCTACCACTTGAGCCACAGTACCATTTCCAGCTTTTCTGCATATGTGGTGCTGAGGAATTGAACGCAGGGCCTCATGCCACCTTCCCAGCCCTTCCATAAGACTCTTATCTCCAGATAGCTGGGGGTGTGTGTGGGGAGGGTGTGTGGGGAGGGGGGTGGGGGGGGAGGAGGTGAGTGGAGCTATAGCTTAAAGTGGTAGAGAGATAATCTTGAGCAAAAATTGCTCAGAGACAGCATCCAGGACCCGAGTTCTAGTCCCACAACCACCAAAAACAAAATAAAACAAAGGCTATAAGAAGGATTACAGGTATGAGCCAGCAGCTTTTGGCTTTAGTTTTTTTTTGGGGGGGGGTGGGGTAGGGTAGGATAGGAAATTGGGGTTTGAATTTAGCAATCTGTGGTTGCAAATCAGGTACTCTACCACTTGAACCATACCCCTAGTCCTATTTGGGTTTAGGTATTTTTCTATAGGGTCTCATCTTTTTGCTCAGAGCCAGCCTTAGACTATGATTCTCCTACCTAGGCCTTCCGCTGTATCTGTGATTATAAAGATGTGTATTACCATATACGGCTTTGTTGAGATGGGTTCTTGCCATTGTGCCTAGGCTGGCCTCAGATATCAATTCTTCTGATCTCTGCCTCTGGAGTAGCTAGTATTAGGTGTGACTGAGTAAGCTGGGATTATAGGTGTGATCAACCATGCCCTGCCCAGCCACTCCAGGCTTTGTTGTGAGTTTTACAGTACAAGGTTTATATTAATTCGTGTATCCTTCAGATGTTACTGTCAGCTTGTGTGGACTAGTCAGCTTCCTCCCGCACCCCATTACAGCGTAGCAATCTGTTCTTTGGCTGTGCAATCTGGTGTACACTCCCAGAATGATCAAGTATTACAACCATGAAGTTTTACAACCATGAATTTTCTGGAGCACATTGTCTATAGGACAATAATAATACACGTGGCTTGTGAATTAGCAATTCACACTGAGACACCAGTTAGTCAGCTTACATGATACGGTCACAATGTGCTCTGCCAGCACACACTTCAGGGGAGCAGAAATGGTTCTGAAAGGCCTGGTCTTACTTGGTGAGCGGCTGGTTAGAGAGCAGCTGTTTGAGGTGCTGGGACAGAAGCTTCTTTTCCAGGGACAATCTGATCCATGCCCGAGCACGCCCCACATCAGTCTTGATCTCACTCATGCTCTGAATGTGCCTAGAGAACACAGACAACAATGAAGGCTTGGCTCTGTGTGGCTTGGAGCCTATGGACAGATTATAGGAACCACAAGACAGGAAAGCTCTTTTTGCCATCACCCACAATGTGAAGGCTGGCTAAACTCAGCCAGTCTGCATTCACAAAGCCAGCCCATGTCACCTCTGCATGGCAACTCGAGCTCACAGGCAGCATCTTATAAGGAATTATCTACACTCATGAGCTTGGCAGCTTTATGTATTTTTTTTTATTTTTATGGCAGTACTGGAGTTTTGAAGTCAGGGCTCTGAGCTTATTAGGCAGGTGCTCTGCCTCCTGAAAGCCACCCCTCCAACCCACTTTTTAAGGCTTTTGATTTTTTTTTTTTGTTTTGGTCTCAAAACACTTATAAATATTTATTTGCTTATTCCAGACCCTCAAGATATAAAAAAATAAGACAATCAGAATAGTCAAGTTTGTATTCACAGTGCATTTTGCCACAAGTTTAATCTACTGAGTTATTTTTCATGTGGTCTCAGATACCACATAGAAAATACAAAATCTTACTATTTAGGATATTAGGTAAGTCCAGCTATACTGTGTTGATGATCTTAAAAACTGGGCCAGGCACTGGTGGCTCATGCCTGTAATCCTAGCTACTCAGGAGGCTGAGATCTGAGGATCGTGGTTCAAAGCCAGCCTTGGCAAGAACGTCTGTGAGACTCTTATCTCCAATAAACTACCAGAAAACCAGAAGTGGCACTGTGGTTCAAGTGGTAGAGCACTAGCCTTGAGCTGAAGAGCCAAGGGATAGTGCCCAGGCCTAGAGTTCAAGCCCTACCACCCACAAAAAAAAAAAAAAAATTGGAAGAGGCTTGGAAAATTGCATGGTTATTATACATTACAAAACTGATGTACCTGACATCAATGAACTATTGCATATGTACAAAAATTACTATTCCAGTGAGTCTGAATCTATTTTCCTAAATGATTTTCCTCCTAAGGAAGGAAGGAAAGGAAGAAGAGCAAGAGCAAGGCAGGCCTAAGGACAGGATAGGCTGTGAAGCATGGCAGAGTAGCATCATGGAGGCTGTTTCTGTCATCCCCAGGTCTACCTTTTTTTCCTTCGATTATAGTTACAAAAATCTCTTCCAACACTTGTGGACTAATAAGAATTAGCAGGAGCCGGGCACTGTAATCCTAGCTGCTCAGGAGGCTGAGATCTGAGGATCTCGGTTCAAAGCCAGCTCCGGCAGGAAAGTCCGGGAGACTTTTTTTTTTTTATTGTGAAAATACCATACAGAGTGGTTACAATTACATGGGCAAGATAATGAATACATTTCTTATCAAGCATTGTTGCTTCCTCCTTTGTTTCCCCTTCCCATCCCTTCCAATCACCCCCCCAGCCAAAGTTGTAAAGTTCGTTTTTTGACATAACAATTTGTACATCTCATTGTTGCAATGGGTCCACCTGTATCTCTATTTAAATGATTTGATTTTTCCCTTCCCCTCCACAAATTATACCAACATCAAATACAGTAAAAGCAGGGGTTATACCATGGGAGAGGGACACACAACAAAGAAATCACCTTATAAATATGTTAGAAACAATTCCATGAAAGCAAAAATATATGAATACTGGGCTGGGAAGGTGGCTCAGTGGTAGAGCGCTTGCCTTGCATGCCTGAGGTCCTGGGTTCAGCACCACATAAGAAAAAAGAAAAAAGCCGGAAGTGGCGCTGTGGCTCAAGTGGTAGAGCACTAGCCTTGAGTTGAAGAGCTGAAGGACAGTTCCCAGGCCCAGAGTTCAGGCCCCATGACTGGACCCCCCCCCCCCCAAAAAAAAAAACAAAAAAAATAGTTGAATACTTATCTTGAGGTTCATTTCACCTAATCCGTGAGACTCTTACCTCCAATAAACCACTAGAAAACCAGAAGTGGTGCTGTGGCTCAAGCTATAGAGTGCTCCCCTTGAGCTGAAGAGCACAGGGACAGTGCCCAAGCCCAGAGTTCAAGCCCCATGACCGACAAAAAAAAAAAAAAGAATTAGCAGGAAGTGGTGCAGTAGCTCAAGTGGTAGAGTGCTTACTTTGAGCTGAAGGGCTCAGGGACAGCTCCCAGGCCCAGAGTTCAAGCCCCATGACCAACAAAAAAGAAAAAAAAGAAAAAGAAATTCAGGCTGGGAAGGTGGTTCAGTGGTAGAGTGCTTGCCTCGCTTGCATGAGGCCCTGGGTTCGATTCCTCAGCACCACATAAACAGAAAAAGCCAGAAGTGGTGCTGTGGCTCAAGTGGTAGAGTGCTAGCTAGCCTTGAGCTGAAGAGTGAGCCCAGAGTTCAAGTCTCACAACTGACCAAAAAAAAAAAAAAAAAAGATTAAAAAAAAAGAATAAGCATCAAATACAATCTGCTTTTTGTCTTTTTTGTGTGCCAGTCCTGAAGCTTGAACTCCAGTCCTTGCACTGTCCTTGAGCTTTTCTACCCTAGACTAGCACTCTATGACTTGAGCCACAGCCACTTCCAGCAACTAAGCTAGAAAGACAACCAACTAATTGGGAAAAAATATTTACCAGCAATATATCAGACAAGGGGTTAACATCCTGTATATACAGGGAACTCAAGAAACTAATCCCTCCCAAACCTAACAAACCAATTACTAAATGGGCAAGGGAACTAAAGAGGGACTTTTCAAATGAAGAAATAAAAATGGCAAAGAAACACATGAGGAAATGTTCATCATCTCTGGTGGTGAAGGAAATGCAAATAAAGACAACCCTGAGATACCACCTTACCCCAGTCAGAATGTCCCACATCCACAAATCAGCCAACGACAAATGCTGGAGGGGATGTGGAGAAAGAGGAACCCTATTACACTGCTGGTGGGAATGTACACTTATACAACCACTTTGGAAAGCAGTCTGGAGGGTCCTTAGAAAGCTAAAGATTGACCTCCCTTATGACCCAGTCATACCACTTCTAGGCATCTACCCTGAACAACAGGAACCAATATACAAGGACACGTGCACCTCCATGTTTATTGCAGCACTGTTTGCAATAGCTAGGATATGGAAACAACCTAGATGCCCCACCACAGATGAATGGATCCAAAAATTGTGGTATCTGTACACAATGGAATATTATGCAGCCATTAGAAATGACAAAATAATGGCATTTGCAGGGAAATGGATGGAGCTAGAAGGAATCATGTTGAGCGAGGTAAGCCAAGAAAGAAGAGACAAACGGTACATGGTCTCCCTGATAAGTGGATGCTAAATCCAAAATGTTAGGTGATACGACAAAACTAACAGGACTTAAGAAACTCCCGCTCATCTGGTTGAACCACTACTAAATATCCCCATGCTGCTGATCACAAATATGGTATATAACATGTGAACACTGTTATATATTACAGACTGTGGTAGACAATTTGCTCCAGGGAAGTTAGAATGAACTTGTGACTTTGAAATTATGTAATCATTTAATCACAATCAAAAAAAAAAAAAAAGAACCTCGGGGAAGGGAGGGAGGGAGGGGATGGTAGGGGGAAAACAATGGAGGGGGTAACAATGTTCAAGAGGAAGTGTACTCATTACCTCACTCATGTAACTGTAACCCTCTGTATAGTAGCTTTACAATTAAAAAAAAAAAAATCTAAAAAAAAAAAAAAAAACATTAAGGGAAGAGGTGGATCAAAGTGGGGTGAGAATGCTGGAGGGGTGACACTGATCAAGATGCATTGCATTCATAGCCTGCTTTATCCAACGGTAGCTCCTCTGCACAACTACATAAAGATCAGAACAATTTTTTAGTGAAACTTTCTCATACTGTGTCTACAGTGAAACTGTACACATCTATATAGCACCTCTGCCCATGGTACATACGACCTTGTTCCCTAAAGCCTCAAATGAATCGGTTCTTATTTTAAATCACTGGTAACCCTAACAAATGACTTTCTTTTATTTTCATTTCTTACGTAATTGTGAAGCTCAATATTTTCTGTATTTGTAGGGCATTTGCACTTATTTTATAAGTCACATTTTTTATGTTTTTTTTTTTTTCTAGTAGAGTATTTACCTTTTGGCCAATTACTGAAATGTTTTTATCTTTTAGGGATATTGGTCCTTTATCACATACAAAATTTTCATAAATTCTGGCCACTGGGCCACTTTATTATTTCAATATTCTCTAGTGTTTATTAGATGACAGAGGAAAATATCAAGCATATTTGCCTATAATGAAATCTACAATAAATGGAATTCTATGCCTCCATCAGAAAGAATGACACTGCCCCATTTGTAGGAAATGGAAAGACTTGGAAAAAATTATATTAAGTGAAGTAAACTAGGCCCAAAGAAACATAGGTCCCATGGTTTCCCTTATCTGCAATAACTAGTATATGTCTGAGACAAGCAGTAAAGGTCAGATAAGTTGATGTTAGGTGAAATGAACTCCAAGATAAGGACTCAAATGGTTTTCTCTTGCTATTGTTTCTAACATATTTATAAGATGATTTCTTTGTTGCTTTGTATGTCCCTCCCCCATGATATAACTCCTGTTTTCACTGTATTTGATGTTGGTATAATTTGTGGAGGGGAAGGGAAAAAACAAATTGTTTAAATAGGGATACAGGTGGACCTATTGCAACAATGAAATGTACAAGACATTATGTCGAAAAATAAACAACTTGGTGGGGGGGGGGGCAGGAGGAAGATGGGGGAGGGGGGGAGATGGGAAGGGATGAGAAGGGGAAACAATGGAGGAGTCAACAATGCTTGATAAGAAATGTACTCATTATCTTGCCCATGAAGTTGTAACCCTTCTGCACAGTATTTTCACAATAAAAAAAAAGAAAGAAAGCAAAAAAAAAAAAAAAAGCCTTCTTCATCTGAAAAAAATCTATTTGGGATTTATTTTTTGTGCCAATTCTGGGACTTGAACTCAGGTCCTGGGTACTCTTCCTGAGCTTTTTAATTTTAATTTTATTTTATGTATTTTTTGCCAGTCCTGGGGTTTGAACTCAGGGCCTGGGCACTGTCCCTGAACTTCTTTTTGCTCAAGGCTAGCACTCTACAGTGCCACTTCTGGCTTTTTCTGTTTATGTGGTACTGAGGATTTGAATCCAGGGCTTCATGCATGTGAGACAAGCACTCTACCACTAAGCCACATTCCCAGCCTGCTTTTTAATTTTTATTATCTATTTATTACTCAAGGTTAGTCCTCTACAGCTCCACTTCTGGATTTTTGATGGTTAAGAGTCTCACAGACTTTTCCTTCCTGGCTGACTTGAAACTGTAATCCTCAGATCTTGGTCTCTTGAGTAGTCAGGATTACAGGTATGAGCTACAGGTGCCTGGCTGTTTTGGATATCTTAATGCCTCTGAAGATTTCTTTTTTTTTTTTTGTCGGTCATGGGGCTTGAACTCTGGGCTTGGCTGCGTCCTTGAGTTCTTCAGCTCAAGGTGAGTACTCTACCACTTGAGCCACAGCGCCACTTCCAGTTTTCTAGTTTCTACTTTATTGGAAATAGTCTCATGGACTTTCCTGCCCGGGTTGGCTTTGAACCGTGATCCTCAGATCTCAGCATCCTGAGTAGCTAGGATTACAGGCGTGGGTCAGGTGCCCGGCACCTAAGGCCAGTTAGTGAGAAATAAAAATGTTCAGATTTGTATTTGTTTCAAACAAAATCTGCTGACAGTAAGTTTAGAGTCAAGTAACCTGTTATTATTTGACCACCTTTTTTTTTGCCTGTATCTGTAGATAGTTGATATTTAAGGGAGTTAAAAACAAACAAACAAAAGTTATATAACAGATAAGAAATAGTTTAGAAAACTCGGTTGGATTTAATGTAGAAAAAATATAATAGCATAGATATCAGTGATCAATCAGTGATAGAAATGATAAATCAAGCCGGGCTTTGGTGGCTCATGCCTGTAATCCTAGCTACTCAGGAGGCTAAGATCTGAAGGTCCCAGTTTAAAGCCAGCCAGGGCAGTAAAGTGTATGAGACTCTTATCACCCATAAACCACAAGAAAACTGGAAGTGGCGCTGTGGCTCAAGTGGTAGAATGCTTCCCTTGAGCTGAAAAGCTGAGGGACAGCTCTTCAAGCCCTATGACCGATTAAAAATAAAAGATAAATCAATGATTAAAAAATGCTTTCTTCTAAATATGTAAGGAAAAATACATGTAGCCATATATATTTGAGCTAGTTAGGTGATAAACTATAAAATGCTTTCAAGTTATCATCATTTTAACATATGCAAAAAATACCTCATGTCTTGGATGAGAGAGACCCTGAGTGTAGGTAACATAACTCCTGAATCAGACTTTCTTCTTTCTGGTCCAAGGGCAACTATGGAAAAGCATCAGCAAAATATTAATTAGAAAAAAATAACAGAAAGAACTTTAATCTGTGGCTATATTTAGACAGTTACAATAATTTTTATAGAAGTTCACCTAGCAAATAAGGCAAAGTGTGCAAATTCTGGTCCTAATGACTACTCATTTTCTACAGCTACTCATTCTAATAGCATAATTACAGAAAACAATCTCTAAATTAAGGTACTAGGTATGTCAATCTTTATCTCTGGACTCATGAAGTAGAAATATACAGATTAAAATCTGGAAAAAGTGCTAAAAATAAAATAACATGTTAGATTGGGCACTGGTGACTCACACCTGTAATCCTAGCTATTTAGGAGGTTGAGACCTGAGGATCATGGTTTGAAGCCACCCAGCAGGAAAGTCTGTGAGACTCTATCTCCAACTGTTCACCAAAAACATGGAAGTGAAGATGTGGGTCAAGTTGTTAAGTGCCAGTCTTGAGTGAATAAGTTAAGGGATAGCTCTCAGAGGTTGGGTTCAAGCTCTAGTAGCTCACATGCATGTACACATACATACATACATACACAAATACACACAAAGAAAAAGAAAAGAAAGCTCTGAACAACTGGTGCGATTCAGTGGTAGAGCATCTTTTTGGTCACTGGTTTGATTAAAAAAAAAAAAAAAGGCAAGCTAGGTGGCGGTGGCTCATGTATGTAATCCTAGCTACTCAGAAAGATGAGATCTGAGGCTCGAGGTTCTAAGCCAGACTGAGCAGAAAAGTCCCCAGGAGACTTTTAACTCCAACTAACCACTCAAAAACCGGAAACTGCTGTGGCTCAAGGGGAAGAGCACTAGCCTTGAGCAAAAAAAGCAGTTCAGGGACAGTGCCCAGGCCCTGAATTCAAGCCCCACAACTCATAAAAACAACAAAAAACAAACAGACTGGGCACTGGTGGCTTATGCTTGTAATCTTAGTTACTCATGAGGGTGAGACCTGAGGATCGCAGTTCAAAGCCAGCTTGGGCAGGAAAGTCTATGAGATTCTATCTCCAATTAATCACTAGAAAACCAGAATTGAAGCTGTGGTTCAAAGTGGTAGAGCATTAGCTTTGACCTTAAAAAGTTCTGGGACAGGGCTGGGAAGGTGGCTCAGTGGTAGAGTGCTTGCCTTGCATGCATGAGGCCCTGGGTTCAATTCCTCAGCACCACATAAGCAGAAAAAGCCAGAAGTGGCATTGTGGCTCAAGTGGTAGAGCGCTAGCCTTGAGCTGAAGAGCTGAGGGACAGCGCCCAGGCCCAGAGTTCAGGCCCCACGACTGGCAAAAAAAAGAAAAGAAAAGAAAAACAAGGCTGGGAATGTGGCTTAGTGGTAGAGTGCTTGTCTATCATGCACAAAGCCCTGGAAGTAGTGCTGTGGCTCAAGTGGTACAGTGCTAGCCCTGAGCAAAAATAATCTCAGGGACAGTGCCCAGGCCTTGAGTTTGAGCCCAGGACTGCTCCCCCTGCCAAAAAAACCCCAAAAACAAAACAAACAAAAAGCAAGCAAGCTCCCTGCTATAAATACACACAGAACCACATAGACATCCTTTCTTTTTTGCAGGGAGGTGGGGTGGGGGTGGGGGGGGGGGGAGGGTGTCCTGAGGCTTAAACTTAGGACCTGGGCATTATCTCTGAGATTTTTTTGTTCAAGACTAGCTCTCTACCACTTGAGCCACAGCTCCACTTCCAGATTTTTTGGTGGGTAATTGGAAATAAGAATTTCATGGACATTCTAGCCCAGGCTAGCTTCAAACCCCATTCCTTGGATCTCCGCCTAAATACCTAGGATTATGGGTGTGAGCCACATGTACTTTAAATTAGCAGAATTATGATACTTCTAACATGAGATATCTTCTATAAATTGTAAGAGAATTTGACGTCTAATCTGAGTGTGGTGGTACATACCTGTATACAGGTGTGTATAAGCTATACACCCCAGGTACTTGAGAGGCTAAAGTGAGAGGATCTCCTGACCCTAGGAGTTTGAAACTAGCTAGGTATCACAGTGAGACTCCAGGGGCTGGGAAGTTGGCTCAGTGGTAGAGCGCTTGCCTTGCATGCCTGAGGCCCTGGGTTCGATTCCTCAGCACCACATAAGCAAAAAGAAAAAAGCCGGAAGTGGCGCTGTGGCTCAAGTGGTAGAGTGCTAGCCTTGAGCTGAAGAGCTGAGGGACAGCACCCAGGCCCAGAGTTCAGGCCCCACGAACCACAGTGAGACTCCATCATTCACAAATAGATAAATAACATACATACATAAGCAATTAAGTAATGATGGAAAAAGATTATGACTCTAGGAGAGGATTTTTGTTTTTGAGCTTAAACTCAGGGCCTTGTACTATTGCTTGGTTTTTGTGCTCAAGGCTAGTGCTCTAACACTTTGAGCCACAACGCCACTTCTGGTTTTCTGGTGGTTAATTGGAGATAAAAGTCTCATTCCTTTCCTGCCCGGGCTGGCTTTGAACTGTGATCCTTAGATCTCAACCTCACGAGTAGTTAGGATTATAGGCGTGAGCACTGGTGCCCAGCCCACCCATCTTTTATGTAAGACAAAAATGTACCCTGGCATTGTCCTTCACACTTTATGAGTTTTTCATATGTGTTACATTTTTTGATGGACACGACTAACTTGGTATAGCCAACATTACCTTCCCTGTTTTATGAGTAAGGAGGCAGAAGATCAGAGAGGTTAAGTGGCTTTCTACAGCTTTCCATTTAATAAATCACATTGATCACCTCTGCTTTACTCTACTTCTGGCAAGATGGGTAAGTTTCACTTGAGACAGGGAAGAGACAAACACAGCTACCCAGAACTGACGCTCCCTATGGTCTGGTGCTGCTTGCTCTGTGGAAACAATCTATCCCAAACCAGTGTGCACTCACCTGGTGATTCTGCAAGGTGCTCTTGCTTCTCTTCTCTGTCCTGAAACTGAATTAAATGTGACCACAAGGCCGACTTCCCCTGAAAATAAAAGGTTCATAAAGTTTTACTTAAAAAAAAAAAAAAAATCAAGAAGGGCTGGGTAGGTGGCTCAGTGGTAGAGCGCTTGCCTTCCATGCATGAGGCCCTGGGTTCAATTCCTCAGTACCACATAAGCAAAAAGAAAAAAGCCGGAAGTGGCGCTGTGGCTCAAGTGGTAGAGCGCTAGTCTTGAGCTGAAGAGCTCCTGTGGAGATGTCATCTTGTGGCTTTTTTAAAAATAAGGTTTTTATTGTGAAAAGACTGTACAGAAGGGTCCAATTACATGAGCAAGGTAATGAGTACATTTCTTATCAAGTATTGTTGCCTCTTCCTTTGTTTTTTCCCTACCATCCCTGCCCTCCCATCTCTATGACTACATTCCCCCTACCCCATCTTGTGGCTTTTTTCTCCCTGGATTTGAACTGTGATCCTCTAGCTCTCACCTTCCTGTGTAGTGAGGCTATAGGTGTGATCCCTGGCACCCAGCATGACTTAATTTTTTTTTTTTTTTTGGGTCCAGTCGTGGGGCCTGAACTCTGGGCCTGGGCGCTGTCCCTCAGCTCTTCAGCTCAAGGCTAGCACTCTGCCACTTGAGCCACAGCACCACTTCTGGCTTTTTTCTTTTTGCTTATGTGTTGCTGAGGAATCAAACTCAGGGCCTCATGCATGCAAGGCAAGCGCTCTACCACTGAGCCACCTTCCCAGCCAGCCTAGCATGATTTTTACAGTTATTTTTGGTGGAGCTAAGGATTGAAGCGGGGCCCTGTGCATTGTAGGCACATAACTACTAAGCAACACACAGAGGCCTAGTGACATTTTGAGGAGCATCTAACTCCTTCACCTTGTTGAGGAGCCTGGCAAGAGTCTGGCAAAGGGAAGAGAATCAGCTCAGCAGAAGGCCAGGAGGACTGGCATGGAGATGATTGAGGTCAGCTTGACTGTCACTTTGTTGGCTATAATTAGGTTACATTAGTATCCATGGAATTAAGGGGCTCTAGTAGCACAAAATACATATTTATATGTAGAATATTTGGGTGGAAAGAGGGAAGAAAACTGGCATAACCAGATAAAGAGAAAGGGGAGTCCCATGAGAAAAGGAGACTGAAGACCAGAGCAAAGAAACTATCTAAACTTTTCCACCCTTAAACACTGTATCACACATTGTGTGGGTCCCACAGAGCAATGAGCATGCAGTGAGTGTGGGATTTTCTTTTGCTATCATTTTATCATTTGTTCCCAAATCATTGCCTGATTGTTATGTTTCCCTTTTCTGGCATTAAAAAACTGGTGACACAAGCTGGGCACTGGTGGCTCACATCTGTAATCCTAGCTACTCAGGAAGCTGAGATCTGAGGATCACAGTTCAAAGCCAGCCCAGACAGGAACATCTGTGAGACTCTTATCTCTAATAAACCACCAGAAAACCAGAAGTGATGCTGTAGCTCAAGTGGTAGAGCCCTAGCCTTGAGCTGAAGAGCTAAAGGACAGCGCCCAGGACTAGAGTTCAAGCCCCACTACGGACAAAACAAAACAAAACTGGTGATACACTACTAGTCATTTGTAACAAAAGACAAAGCAACATAGGCTTTTTTTGTTTTGTTTCCTTATTGGCTTTTTTTCCCCTCAAGGTCACAGCTCCACTTTTGACTTTTTTCTGGTTAATTGGAGATTTTCTCACAGACTTTCCTTCCAGGATTAGCTTTGAATCTTGATCTTCAGATCTCAGACTTCCAAATAAATTTAGGATTATAGGCGCAAGTCCTAAGTGCCTGTCTGAAGATAGTGCCCCCGCCACGCCCCCCTCCCTGCTTTTTTTTTGGTCAGTGGTGGGGCTTAAAATCTGGGCCTGGGCACTGTCCCTCAGCTCTTCAGCTCAAGGCAAGCACTCTACCAATTGAGCCATAGCACCACTTCTGATATCCTGGTGGTTAATTGGAGATAACAGTCTTATGGATGTGCCTGTGTGGGCTAGCTTTGAACCATGATCATCAGATCTCAGCCTCCCGAGTAGCTAGGATTACAGGGGTGAGCCATAAGCGCCCAACTAAAGATGGCCTTTTAATGACATCTCCTTCTCTATGTCACATTTCTTACAGATCTCCTAATGGACTATGACATGAGCAGTTACCTGCTTGACCTGCAAGCCATGACTCCATATCCTCTCCAGCAAGTCACAGAGGCTGGCGATCAGGGTGTTCTCCTCCAGACCAGTGATGTTTGCTTCCCCATGGCCCAGCTCCACTGCCTCATGTCCCATCTTCTCTACCAACATGCGCTTTGTCTGAAATATCACATGTGGTCAGTCATAATCCATCCCATAAGCGAGTCAATTACTGGCCTAAGAGACCTGAAGTCCCTTCGTTGTCTAAGTACAGATTTGTATTGTGTGTGTGCGTGTGTGTTTGTGTGTGGTGTGTGCTGTTTCTGGGGCTTATTTTCTGGGCATAGCCACTGTCCCTTTTGTGCTCAGGGATAGTACTCTACCACGGGAGTCACAGCTTCACACTTTCTACTCCTTTACTGCTTGAGCTAAGAGTTTCATGGACTGGCTTTGAACCACGATCCTTAGATTTCAGTCTCCTGAGTTGCTAGGTTTACAGTCGTGAGCCACTAGCACCCAGCCTAGTTATAGATATTTTAATCACCTTAGGGAAAATGTTTTGATTTCTAACTGCAATAATATCATCTGAGTATTACTATTATGTCAGAGAAATGGAGAGACACTAAAGAGAGACTGAGATATTTGCATAACATACCCATGTAGGAAAAGAGCTTTTATACAATAATTTTCTTTTTTGTGGGTCAAAAGGCTTGAGCTCAGGATCTGGGTGCTATCTCTGAACTCTTTTTGCTCAAGTTTAGCACTCTAACACGTGAGTCACAGCCCTACTTCCAGCTTTATTTGGTGCTTAATTGGAAAATAAAAAGTCTTGCTGACTTTTTTCCATTCTCCTGAGTAGCTAGGATTACAGTAGTGAGCCACCAGAACCTGGCAATGTCTTTTGATGGCAGAGAACACAAAGATGAGAAAAACTATGTGGGGCTCCCAGATTACTGGTATGGTGGGATTTCATGTAAGAATACATGCAAGATTCCTTTTAGGGAAGCTATGTCCCCAGTGGAGATTGACTCATCTCCTCTTAGCCATACTTCCCATCCCCAGCACAAGTGTAAATTCATACTGTCCAGCATCAGTAATACATACCTTCATTCTGCATTCTTTTAATAAGCCTTCCACAAATTTCCAGTTAGTCTGTGCAATTACTGCAGGAGAGAGGTCTGACAATTTGGGTTGCCTCAGGTTTTTTCCTAAACTTCGTGCCTCTTGCATATATTTCTAAAAATTAAGAGTATTTAAAAATATATAAGTATCATTTTCTGTTCTACTTAACCTTATACCAACAAATAGAGGAATAAGCGAGATATGGACAGGCTGGATTAGCGTGTGGCACTTTGGAGAAAGTGTTGTGCTCTGTTCTCCTAAATCTGTTAATTTGAAGTTTAAAATCATTCAGAACCATGTGGAGCTTACTTAGTACTTGTGTGTGTGTGTGTGTGTGTGTGTGTGTGTGTGTGTGTGTGTGTTTGTGCACTCCAGTATTGGGGCTTGATCTCAGGGCTCAGTACTATCCCTTAGCTTTTTTGCTTAAGGCTGGCTCTCTACCACTTAAGAAGCAGCTCCACTTGCAGTGTTTTGGTTTTTATATAGTTAACTGAAGATAGAGTCTCAAGCCAGGTGTCAATGGCTCATGCCTGTAATCCTAGTTACTCAGGAGGCTGAGATCTGAGGGTTGCAGTTCAAAGCCAGCCCAGGCAGGAAAGTCCATGAGCCTGTTTTTTTTTTGGGGGGGGGGGTCAGTCATGGGGCTTGAACTCTGGGGTTGGGCACTGTCCTTGCGCTCTTCAGCTCAAGGTGAGCGCTCTACCACTTGAGCCACAGCACCACTTTCAGTTTTCTAGTGGTTTATTGGAGATAAGAGACTCACGGACTTTCCTGCCCAGGCTGTCTTTGAACCGCAATCCTCAGATCTCAGCCTCCTGAGAAGCTAGTATTATAGGCGTGAGCCACCTGCGCCTGGCTAGTCCATGAGACTTTTACCTCCAATTAACCACAAGAAAACCAGAAGTAGTGCTTGTGGCTCAAAGAGGTAGAGCATTAGCTTTGAGCTAAAGAGCTCAGGGACAGCACTCAGGTCCAGACCAAGCTCCACAATGACCAAGAGAGAAAGAGGGAGAAAAAGAGGGGGGGGGGGAGAAGGAGAGAGAGGCAGAGAGGGAGAGGGAGAGGGTGGAGGAGAGGGAGAGAGGGAAAGAGAGAGCACACACGCATGCACAAAAGTACCTCAAGGACTTTCCTGCCTGGACTGGCTCCGAAACACAGTTCAAGTGTGAGCTACCAGCACTGGGCTTAGTTTAGTTTTTATTTTCTATTTATTTTTTCGTTGGCCGTGGGGCTTGAACTCAGGGCCTGGGTGCTGTCTCTGAGCTCTTTTGCACAAAGCTAGCACTCTAACCACTTTGAGACACAGAGCCACTTCTGAGTTTTGAGTGGTTAATTTGAGATAAAGAATTCCACCGGACTATTTTTTTTCCCTGGCTTCAAACCTCAATCCTAGATCTCAGCCTCCTGAGTAGCTAGGATTACAGGTATAAGACACCTAGTTTAGTGACTTAGATTACCTGACATATGAAAAGGCAGGTATCTGGTTTTAAGTGCAAATTCTGGAGAAGCCTAGTGGGTCTCAGATCATTTCTTTCCTCCACTCCTCTCTCCACACAAGAACTTCACATATCTGTCTAGCTTGGCCAGTTCTAATTAACATCCCAACAGTAAATCTAGAAGTTCTAGAACTGAGTAGATTGAAGGCCTTGCATACTTTCTTAGCTTTATTTTTGCCAAAAGCTAATACTCTACCACTTGAGCCCCGACTACTTTTGGCTTTCTGGTGAATAACGAGATCACAGTCTCCCAAATTTTCTTGCCTTGGCTGGCTTAGAACCCAGGCTTCTGGATTCATAAGTCTTAGCTCCCTGGGATGGCTTCTGAATGTCCAGATCTCAGCCTGCTGAGTAGCTAGTATTACAGGCTTCAGCCACCAGTGCCTAGCTTAAGTGCTACTTAATATAGGCTCCTCCTTAGTTTTCTAATAAACACTCGTATCCCTTAAATTGGTGCTGAACTTGTGAAAAGATCTTTCATAAAATTAAACTTTAATGACATAAACAGGGAAAAAATATGAGAAAGGCTCCTAAATTATTTGTGTTCTCAGGAAAACAGTGGTGAATGCAAGCTGGCATGTAGGGTCAGTAGGAAAAACTGGCTGGACATCAGGATTTCTGGGCTCCAAGCCCAACTCTGCTTTTGTATGTCCATTTAACCTTTGGTCAACTGTCTTGGACCTTAGCTAATTATGTCAGATTGGATAAGATGCATTTCCTGAAACATACAATGTATACTAGGAAAGTAAATTGCTATGGAGACAAATTTCTAAGAGAGAAAAGCCAAAATTCAAATACTTTTGTTCTTCAAAATGAAAAAAAATATAAGAGGGAATTTGTATATTGAATATATTTTTCCCTCTCTGAAATAAAAACAATTTATTTTTTTATTTTTATTTATTTATTTTTTTTGTCAGTCGTGGGGCTTGAACTCTGGGCCTGGGCCCTGTCCCTGGGCTCTTCAGCTCAAGGATAGCACTCTACCACTTGAGCCACAGCACCACTTCTGGTTTTCCAGTGGTTAATTGGAGATAAGAGTCTCACAGACTTTCCTGCCTGGGCTGGATCTGAACTGTGACCCTGAGATCTCAGCCTCCTGAGTAGCTAGGATTACAGGCCTGAGCCACAGGCACCGGCACAATTTGCTTTTATTGAAAAAAAAAAAAAGATCCCAAGAGGAGGTAGAGCTGTAGCTGAAGTGGTAGAGCATAAAAGTTCAGAGACAGTGCCCAGGCCCTGAGTTCAAGCCACGACTGGTACACACACATTCTGTGAGACTCTTATCTCCAATTAACTTCCAAAAAGCTAGAAGTAGAACTGCGGCTTGAGTGGTGGTAGAGTGCTAGCCTTGAGGAAAAAAAAAAAAAAAGCTCAAAGATGGTGTCCAGCCATGAGTTCAAGTCCCAGGACTGACGCCAAAAAAAATCCCAGAGGTAGAGACAGGGATCAGGTGGTAAAGTGCCAGTCTTTGGGCTAAAGAATCAGACCCTGAGTCAAGTTCCAGTAATGGAAGAAAAAAAAATTCCCACTGCATAGGGACAGTTTCACTGTCAACAGGGATTATTTACATTAACACTCACAGAACAAAATAGCATCACACACAAGGGAACGCAGAAGGCAAAGCAGGGAGATGGAGTGCTCATGTGACAGTGATGGGAGGCACTCTACAGTTACGTGAACTCCCATGTGTGTGTGTGTGTGTGTGTGTGTGTGTGTGTGTGCGTGCACGCACATAATCAGGCAATACCAAGGGCAACACGTGGGCACATCTGATGAAGCACTTACAAGGCAGAGGACATACCAGGCAGCACTCAGAGAAGGACTTTTTAGGAAGCCGTGCAGGAGGAGGTGGGCCCTGCTCCCACTCCCAGAATCCCATGAAGTTCTGACAGACCGAAAGGTCCCCGGAAGGCTAAGAGCATGAAGTGCCAATGGCAGAAAAGCAAAAAATAAAAAGGAGAGGGGGAGATAGATAGGCAAAACAAGCATGCACATGAGAAAACCACAGCAAAGGGGCAAAAGAAAAGAAATACAGTTGCCAAAGGAAGGCACTGAGACAGGATGCTTCAGTTCTTAAGCAAATGTTCAAAATCACGTATGGATGGATGAACACACTAAGAAAAAGCCAAAGATGTTTACAATGCTGTTTTCTGCTTTATTTCTACACATTTGAGCTTAGAAAACAATTAACAGGCTTTCTTACTGCATTTTCTTTTGATCATATGAAATAAAAACTTACTTAAAATTACTCAGTTGTATAATTACAGTTTTATTTTCAAAGAGTACAATTAAAGCATATGGATTTTAATTTGAAAATAGCTCAAAAATTCCCTTAAATGGTGTCAGCAAGCCGCCAGGACAAAGCTTAGGTAAATGCTCCTTTACTTACTAGGTTTAAATTAAATTATACTGAAACCAAGGATTACTGTTCCCAAATTTACCATTCACTTTTTTTTTTTGGCTGGTTCTGTGACTGGAACTCAGGGCTGAGCTCTTTTGCTCAAAGCTAGTGCTCTACCACTTAAGCCACAACTCCAATTCCAGTTTTGTTTTTGTAGGTTAGTGAAGATAAGAGTCTCAAGAACTTTCTTGCTTGTGCTGACTTTGAACTGTGATCCTCAGCCCTCAGCTTCCTGAGAAGCTAGGATTACATGCATGAACCACCTGTACCTGGCTCCCAAATTTACTCTTTACTTGCTGAAGGACCGAAATTACAAAAATGGAAAAAAGTTGTCTTTCACAAATCAGTACCCAAAGGATATTTTCAAATACAATTGGACAATTTTTTTTGAGAACATGAAAGGACCCACACAAAGAACCTTGCTGGCTGGGTGGGCCCTGTCCTAGCTTTGCATCCAGACAACCCACATACCTCCCTCAAATCGTTGTCCAGTCCAATGTTCTCTGAGTGTTGGCGAAGGCGTTCTTTCCTGCGCTGTGTGGTGGCACTGCGGCTGACCCAGCGACTAAAAAAACAAAACAACAAAAAACCCCACATCCAGGGTAGCTTGAGTCTAGACAACCGACCAAAGAATGGTCTCTATCTTTCACACAGCAAGATAAACTGTTCCCGACAAAAGAAGGACATCCCCTGCTTTGCAATCAATTATTTTACAAGCATATAACAGCTTTATTAAGACATAATCAAAATACCATTCAATCCTCATATCCAAAGTACTTGGTCCAATGTGTTTTAGTATATTCACAGATAATGTGCAACTATCACCACAATGAATTTTTTTTTTTTTTTTTTGGCCAGTCCTGGGGTTTGAACTCAGGGCCTAAACACTTCCCTGAGCTTCTTTTGCTAGCACTCTACCACTTGACCCAAGGCACCACTTCGGGCTTTTTCTATTTATATGATACTGAGAAATCAAACCCAGGGCTTCATGCATGCCAGCAAGCACTCTACCACTAAGCTACATTCCCAGCCCCCAACAATGAATTCTTTAAAAAAAAAAAACAAAAACAACTAAAACTAAAAACAAAGGTAAAAGACTGAGCATCAGTGGCTCACGCCTGTAATCCTAGCTACTCAGGAGGCTGAGATCTGATGCTGTGACTCAAGTGGTAGAATGCTCGCCTTGAGCTGAAGAGCTGAGGGACAGCACCCAGGCCCAGAGTTCAAGCCCCATGAGCAACCAAAAAAAAAAGAGTAAGTCCTCTACTATAAGGTCTAAGGATTAGTCCATTGGCCACTGTGATTCTTTTGCTCTAATCTTGTATGACTGTGTTTCTGTAAAATGGTAGCTCATATTTATCTGTGTGTGTGTGTGAGCTTTTGTACTCAAGGCTAGCGTAGCCCTCTACTACTTGAGCCATGCGTCTACTTGTGGCTTTTTGCTGGTTAAGTGGAGATAAGACTCTCTTGGATTTGTCTGCTTGAACTGGTTTTAAACCTTAATACTCAGGTCTTGAGTAGCTGGTATTACAGGTGTGAACTATTGAGCCCCGCTCTATTTGCTCTTTCATCAGCTCTTCCCTGTACTCCTAAAGACTACTGCAACTGTCTCACTTAATTTTTCAGTACTACCACATAAATATCCGAGGAGCTTATATAATAAACACAGAGGAAGAGAAGATAAATTAACAAACAAAATGTACTCTTGATGTAGAAGCCTTGAAAATAGCCCTATGACCAAAAAAATTTGGTGCTGAGAGCAAAATTTGCTCAAGGATCTAACAAAAAATAGGGTTAAGGGACAGGGCAATCAAAATGAACAGTAAAAATATGAAGCATTAGGTAATGAATTTAGAAAGTAAAGGAAGAACTGGGCACCAGATAGCTCATGCCTGTAATCCTAGCTACTCAGGAGGCCGAGATATGAGGACTGTGGTTCATAGGCAGAAAAGTCCCTGAGAGACTCTTACTGTCAATCAACTACTCAAAAACCAGAAGTGGAGGTGAGACTCAAAGTGGTGGAGTGCTAGCCTTGAGCCAAAAAGGGCTTAGGGGACTGTACTCAGGCCCTGAATTTATGCCCCACAACAACAACAACAACAACAAAAGGGACAGAAGATAAGCCAGGAAGGAACCTGTGGCTAACACCTGTAATCCTTAATCCTAGCTACTCTGGTTCAAAGCCAGTCTGGGCAGGCAAATCCCTGACATTTTTATTCCAATTATTCAGCAAAAAGCCAGAAGTGGAGATGTGGGTCAAGTCGTAGAGGGTCAGCATTGAATGAAAAAGCTAATAGAGTTTGAGGCCCTGAGTTCAAGTCCTAGACAGTTGTGGCACTGCATAAAAAAGGCACACAGAAGGAGGGCGGGGCAGAGGGACAAATGAGATTGCACATTGCTTCCTATACTTCTGTCTCTCTTGGATCTACCTTTCCTGACAGCTCAGTTGTAGGCACAATGTGAAGCAGGTTACCAGCTCAACAGCTATTGCTAAATTCTTTTATATTCAGTACTGTATTTCAGGTGATTTGCTTGGGTCTGGGCATGGAGCTCAGTACTTACTTGCCTGAGCACTTGCAAGACCCAGGTTGATCCCCAGTCATACAAAAATGAAATACAAAGTAACATAAAATAAAACAAAATTTGGGCTGGGAAGGTGGCTCAGTGGTACAGTGCTTGCCTTGCATGCATGAGGCCCTTGGTTCGATTCCTCAGCACCACATAAGCAGAAAAAGCTGGAAGTGGGGCTGAGGCTCAAGTGTAGAGCTCTAGTCTATAGCTGAAGAGCTGAGGGACAGCGTCCAGGCCCCACGACTGACAAAAAAAATAAAAAATAAAATAAATAAATAAATAAATAAATAAAATAAAAATTTCTTAAGGTCTACCAAAGAGTTTCTAGATCTTAAAGAACAAAAATTATCTTGTGCCTTTCTCTTAGAGTGGCAGGCATTATGTATAGGGTGTGGGTTGCTGAATCAACAGACCTAGGCTTTAATTCTAGTCTCACTACTTTCTTTGTGATCTTGGCATAAATGGTTTACCCTCTCTGACCTTTTTTTATATGATAAGTAAAATATAAAGTTTATATACATGGATACTTATAATGACTAATGAGCTGATGTGTTTGGCAGGAAAGGTATATTTCTAATCACAAAAAAGTGATTAGAAAGAATAGTAATTACTTTAAATATAGAAATGATAATTATTTTCAAGTTTTCTGACTGATACTTGTAATGGGTGGAAGCTGCTTTAATTAAGACACTGATCAAGAATTCAATGTACTGGGCCTGGAAATGTGACCTAGTGGTAAAGAGCTTGCCTGGCACGCATGAGGAGTTGGGTTCAATTCCTCAGCACCACATAAGCAGAAAAAGCCAGAAGTGGTGCTATGGCACAACTGGTAGAGCGCTAGCCTTGAACTAAAGAGCTGAGGGACAGTGCCCAGGTCCAGAGTTCAGGCCCCACAACTGACCAAAAAAAAAAAAAAATTCAATTCAATGTACTATATCCTACCAAATAGAGAAAAGTGAGGGAAGGGGTGGGTCAGATGGGATGAATGAGAATTTTGAAAAGGATAACATTGATCAAGATCCACTGTATTCATCAACTACTTTGCTGAATGGCAACTCCTTTGTATAACTACTTAAAGATAGTAAGTGGCAGGGGGGAGAACAATACATACATAAAATAAAATCACCAAAAATAAAGACTCTGAAAGCTCAGAACTACTACACTAGAACTCTTTCCTTTAAGTTCACAGACTGCCTCCTCAAACCACATATACTTGATATCACTGTAACTTTTTTTTGTCACTTGTAGGGCTTGAAATCTGGGCCTGGGTGCTGTCCCTCAGCTCTTCAGCTCAAGGCAAGTGCTCTACCACTTGAGCCATAGTGCCACTTCTGGTTTTCTGGTGGTTAATGGGAGATTAGAATCTCATGGGCCTGGGCTGGCTTTGAACCCTGATCAATAGCTAGGATTATAGGGTGAGCCACTAGTGCCTGGATCCACGGTAACTTTTTTTTTTCGGTCCGGTTGTGGGCCTGAACTCTGGGCCTGGGCACTGCCCCTCAGCTCTTCAGCTCAAGGCTAACGCTCTTCAGCTCAAGGCTAACGCTCTACCACTTGAGCCCCAGCGCCACTTCTGGTTTTTTTTCTTTTTGCTTATGTGGTGCTGAGGAATCGAACCCAGGGCCTCATGCATGCAAGGCAAGCGCTCTACCACTGAGCCACCTTCCCAGCCCCTCCATGGTAACTTTCTATTTAAAACTAAGTAAATAGAAAATTCTAATATAGTTCAAAAACAATCTGAACAGCCATCTTTAGTTGATGAGCAAGTGGCAAGGCTGTCATTTCTTTCAGGTTATTAAAAAAAAAAAAAGACACACTGGGATGGCAGTGGCTCACGCCTGTAATCCTAGCTACTCCAGAGGCTGAGATCTGAGAATCAGAATTCAAAACCAGCCTGGGTAAATTAATCTTTTTCTTTTCCTCCCAGTCCTGGGACTTGAGCTCAGGCCCTCGGCACTGTCTCTGAGCTTCTTTTTGCTCAAGGATAGCACTCTACCATGCAAGCCACAGCATCTCTTCTGGCTTTTTCTGTTTATGTGCTACTGGGGAATCAAACCCAGCACTTCATGCATGCTAGGCAAGCACTCTACCACTAAGCCACGTTCCCAGCCTAGGCAGACAAATCTGAGAGACTCTTATCCCCAATTAACCAGCAAAAAGCTGGAAGTGGAGCTGTGGGTCAAATAGTAGAGCGCTAGCCTTGAATGGAAAAAGCCAAGCAAGAGTATAAGGCCCTGAGTTCAAGCCTCAGTACTGGCACAAAAAAAGAAGGAAAGATGGAAGGAGGGAGGGAGAAAACAAGATAAGCCTGATCAGAGTTGCAGACCACCCTGCCCTTCATTCCTGCAGTCACTCCAGTGAAGAACATGCTTACTTGTTATTGGTTGGTCCTGTTGCCAAGACATCAGACTGTAACTTTGGAAAGAACCCTTGCTCATATTTGCCTTGACCAATTTTCATATCCAGTAAATGCGGGTGGATTGCAGTGTGATCCATTTTCATCAGTCTTTGCTCAATTGATTGGGCTACAAGTCAAATTTATAACAAATTAGACATTTCAATGGGAAACCTTCTAAAATAAAGCTTCTCCCCCTTGTGCACCTACAGAAGACTCAATCATCCTGACACTCTGAAACAGATTTTTATACAGTTTCTTCAAAAATCAGTAAGGATAAGAGTGTTCATTTTAAGTAAATATTCGATGGTTATTTTTATGGTATTTTCTGCCTTTGTCAAACATGAGGCAGCAGGATTGAAAAATCTATAATTTAGTATTGAAACAGTTTTCTTAAGTGGGTAATTCAATATCCTTAACAAATTTGTACTTGATTTAAGGGCAACATTAAAGAAAATGATGGAAATACAATATAAAGAAAAGGAAAGCCTGGGCACTGGTGGCTCATGCCTGTAATCATAACTACTCAGGATGCTGAGATCTAAGGATTGGGGTTTGAAGCCAGCACAGACGGAAAACTCTTTGAGACTCTTATCTCCAATTAACCAACAGAAAGTCAGAGGGAGGTATGTGTCAAGTGATAGAGTGCTATCCTTCAGCAAACAAGCTAAGAGACAATGCCCAGATTCTGAGTTCAAGCCCCAGATTGGTGGGGGGGGAAGGGAAGAAGTACATACAATAGCCTTATTGCTTTATTTTTTTCTACAAAGACCTATGAAATATTCATGGTTCTTCATGTGCACAATCAAGGAACTATGTAAAGTTTATTATATTACTTTAGCAACTATCATATGCTCATAATAGGAATCATTTAGGAGTGTTTATTAGATCAAGAACAGACAAATAAACATGCATTTCTTACGTGTCCAGAAGAAACTAGCCTTAAATAAAATAAGCCAAAGTCAGAAGACAAGAATTCCTCAACACTTCTATTTTTAAAACACCTTAAATTGGGCCAGGTGCTGGTGGCTCTTACTTGGAATACTAGCTACTAAGGAGCTGAGATCTGAGGATCATGGTTTGAAGCAAACCAAGCAGGAAAGTCCATGAGACTCTTATCTTCAAGTAACTACAAGAAAACCAGAAGTTGCTCTGTGGCTCAAAGTGGCAGAGTGCAAAAAAGCTCAGTTCAAGCCCCATAACTGACAAACAAAACAAAACAAAACAAAACAAAAACACTTTAAACTGGGAATATTGGAGACTGTCTCAAAGACCCGAGAAAGTGAGCTATTTTTCTGGCAAAACAAAACAAAGCAACTTTAATTTTAAGGGACTTTAAGAACTGAATTTTTTTTTTTTAATGTTGGCAATGGGGGTTAGACTTATGGTCTTGCCCTCTCACTTGGCTTTTTCACTCAAGGCTGGTGCTACCACTTGAGCGATACTGCTACTTTGGGCCTTTTGCTAGTTAGTTGGAGAATGTGAGTCTCTTGGACTTTAAACCATGTTGGCTTTAAACCATGATCCATTTGACCTCAGCCTCCTGAGTAGCTAGATTATAGGCATCAACTAAATCACCAGCCCTGCCACTTCCCCTTGAGTATATATTTAAAATTGCTATGAGAATAATCCAGTGATGCTTTCCAGTGAGTATACTGCCAGTAAGTACTGGACATTCAGAAGTGATGGGCTGGGAAGGTAAGGTGCTTGCCTTGCATGTATGAGGCATTGGGTTCAATTCTTCAGCACCATATATGCAGAAAAAGCCAGAAGTGGCGCTGTGGCTCAAGTGGTAGAGCACAGCCTTGAGCTGAAGAGCTGAGGGACAGTGTCCAAGCCCAGAGTTCAGGCCCCACGACTGGCAAAAAAAAAAAAAAAAAGTAGAAGTGATCAAATGCCTGCCTCAGACATCAGGGCTCTATTGTTAAGACTGTCAAAGGCTTGTGTCACTATTGGTTTGCAGTAGTGAAGTACAAGGCAAACTGTATTACTATCCACCTCTTATCTTTCTGCACAGAAATCATGAGGTTCTGGTGATACAGTATCAACTCAGAGAGCCTAAAGAGTTCCCCTGAAAATCAAAATTTTTTGTAGTTAGAGGAAAAGCAACAGCAAGAGCACTGCATATATATATGTACCTGTAACATGTACATACACACTCTATATTTTTGGGGGGAGATGGGGAGAAGACAATTTTGTCTGATAGAAGAAATCACAGGGGTTGGGAAGGTGGCTCAGTGGTAGAGTGCTTGCCTTGCATGCATGAGGCCCTGGGTTTGATTCCTCAGTACCACATAAGCAGAAAAAGCCAGAATAGCGCTGTGGCTTAAGTGGTAGAGCGCTAGCCTTGAGCTGAAGAGCTGAGGGACAGAGCCAAGGCCCAGAGTTCAGGCCCCAAAACTGACAAAAAAACAAAACAAAACAAAACAAAAAACCCCACAGTATTATTTGCGAAGAGTATTTACATTCACAACCAACTGCCTTTTTTTTTGTCTTTAAAATTTTTTTTTGATGCTGGGAAGGTGGCTCAGTGGTAGAGTGCTTGCCTTACATGCATGAGGCCCTGGGTTCAATTCCTCAATACCACATAAGCAGAAAAACCTGGAAGTGGTGCTGTGGCTCAAGTGGTAGAGTGCTAGCCTTGAGCAACATTGCCACCAGGTGTTGGTGGCTCAGGCCTGTAATCCTAGCTATTCAGGAGCCTAAGATCTGAGGATTGGGGTTCAAAGTCAGCCCAGGCAGGAAAGTCTGTAAAACTATTATCTCCAATAAACAACTCAGAAAACCAGAAATGGCACTGTGACTCAAGTGGTAGAGCACTTGCCTTGAGCTAAAGAGCCAAGGCAGCGCCCAGGCCCAGAGTTCAAGCCCCAGGACAGAAAGAAAGAAAAGAAGAGAGAAGAGAAGAGAAGAGAAGAGAAGAGAAGAGAAGAGAAGAGAAGAGAAGAGAAGAGAAGAGAAGAGAAGAGAGAAAGAAACTCATTGCCAGGCAATGAGTTCAAGCCTCAGGCTTGAAAAGAAAAAAATTAGCCCTAGGCTAAAAAAAATTCTTTGATAAATTCCTAGGAAATGAAAGCCTTCATCTTATTTAATTTTCATATGGGTTACATCTATAAGGTACTTTTCAAGAGTTTCATATAATTTTTGGAAAGGCAGTAGAAGTATCAAAGTGACTGAGAGGTTGAAAGAAATCAGTTTTAATTGGAAAGGCTTTCTTTTTCTTTTTATTGGTCATGGGGCTTGAACTCTGGGCCTGGTCACTATCCCTGTGCTCTTCAGCTCATGGCAAGCTCTCTACCACTTAAGCCATAGGATCACTTCCGGTGTTCTGGTGGTTAATTGGAGATAAGAGTCCCATGGACTTTCCTGCCTGAGCTGACTTTGAATCTCAATCCTCAGATCTTAGCCTCCTGAATAGCCAGTTTCATAGGCATGCGCCACCAGTTGGAAAGACTTTCAAGAAGCACAGGCATTAAGAAACTGGTGCTTGGGCTGGGAAGGTGGCTCAGTGGTAGAGCGCTTGCCTTGCATGCTCAAGGCCCTGGGTTCGATTCCTCAGCACCACATAAGCAAAAAGAAAAAAGCCAGAAGTGGTGCTGTGGCTCAAGTGGTAGAGCGCTAGTCTTGAGCTGAAGAGCTGAGGGACAGTGCTCAAGCCCAGAGTTCAGGCCCCATGACTGGACCCCAAAAAAAAACAAAAAATGAAAAAGAAACTGGTGCTTAATTCTAGTTTACTAATTCTGTCAGGAGAAATAAAATTTGCTCAAAAAGGCATTGTATAATTCATATGGCTTTTTTTTTTCTCTGTCAGTCATGGGGCTTGGACTCTGGGCCTGGGCACTGTCCCTCAACTCTTTAACTCAAGACTAGTGCTCTACCACTTGAGCCACTTCCAGTTTTCTGAGTGGTTAACTGGAGATAAGAGTCTCACGGCCGTTCCTGTCTGGGCTGGCTTTGAACCACAATCCTCAGATCTCCACCTCCTGAGTAACTAGGATTATAGGAATGAGCCACGGCACCTGGCTTTTCACATGGCTTTTAAAGCACTGAAGTCATAATGTTCTTTGCACAGGCACAAATAACTTTTATTTCTTCTACTTCAATCTCTAGAGATACAGAGATTACTGTCACTTTGTGTAGGGCTCTAAGGACTTTTTTTTGGTTATTGTTTGTTTTTGCTGGTCCTGGGCTTGAACCCAGGGCCTAGGCACTGTCCGTGAGCCAATTTTGTGCTCGAGGCTAGTGTTCTACCACTAGAGCCATAGAACCACTTCTAGCTTTTTCTGAGTAGTTTATTGGACATAAGAGTGTCATGGACTTTCCTGCCCTGACTGGCTTTGAGCCGAGATCCTTATATCTCAGCTTCATGAGTAGCTAGGATTACAGGGGTGAGTCACCAATGCCCCTCAAGGATGTGAGGTATAGCACAGGGTGATGTATCAGAGATCTCAATGGCCACATAAGACACTAATACTTCTTTTCTTAAGGAAAAGAGGAAGGTAGGAAAGGCCAGAAACAAAAGCAGACAGAGTTCAGAGCTCCACATGGCTGAGCTTTCTCTCTCTTTTTCTCTTTGGTGCTGGTCCTGGGGCTTGAACTCAGGGCCTGACCCAGGACTGGCTTACACACACACAGAAACACATGTGAAGTACTTGGAGCATATAATACTCAGTTGTTGGCTATCAATGATTACTTTATTAAACTGGCAGAGAAGACTAACCAAACTCATGATTCCATGAGGTAAAAATTGGTTGTCAGGGTTGAGGGAACCTCTAACTTGGATGCCAGAATCCAGAAACTGAATTTCAGGGAACAAACCTCTATAAGGCAAATATAATGTTTTAGTTATGTAAATTGGACAGCACCTCAAAGTTTATATTTCTTTTCTTTCTTTCTTTTTTTTTGACACAGGGACTAGCCCAGCCTGGCCTGGATCTTGTAATCTTCCTGTTTTACTTCCCAGTGCTGAGATTGCAGGTGTATATCTCTATTCCCAGCTTTAGATTTCATGGTTTAAATTCATACTTTTTCTTGAATAAAGAAAAAAGAAGTGAGAGGTTAAGTATCAGTAGCAAGACAGAAATTTTTTTCCACTGAAACAAAAAGATTAAGAGAAATCAAAGCAATTTTCTACTTTACCTCCAATTTATTATGCTTTTCTTCTTTTAACTAAGAGGAATATCATAAGAATGAGGATGCACAGAAAAAAACTATATCACTTCTGTGTGTGTGTGTGTGTGTGTACTGGTACTAGGACTTGAACTCAGGGCCTCTCACTTTCCCTTGGCTTTTTTGCTAAAGGCTGGTGTCCTACCACTTGAGCTACCTTTACTTCTGGCTTTTTGCTAACTAATTGGAGATAATGAGTAGCTATGATTACAAACATGTGCCCCTGGTATCTGGCTAGCACCATAACTTGATTTAATACCAGGATTAGGAAGTCTAAAACTGAAAATTAATTCTGTGGTATACGAGGCTAACAATACATAAAAAGGAATGATCATGGGTTTTCATTTTCAAAGGCATGTCAAATGTACCTGCTTCTTTTAAAGTGCTGCATTTCTGATAGATAGACGTCCGCAAGGTAGGTGCCCTTACATTATACAATCTCATCTTCTCAATCCGAGAGTCAAAGACCCGAAGCAAAGGATCTTTTTCTTCCCATTGAGACATAATTTTATTGTCAATAAAGGTGGCAAACATCTGAGTTTCAATGAAGCGTGAAAGAAATGGCAGGTAAGGCTCAGGCTGGTCAGACAGGAAAGAAGCCTGTAATGAGATAATTAGAAAATTATTTTTATAGTAAGACCATCTTAATAATATAGGATGAACCTGAAAATGATCTATTGCTAAGATCATTAAAAAAATCATAATATATGAATCTGAGTTGAAATTTTAAAAAATTCCTAAAAACCTACTTTTCCTGCCTTCTAAAATTATAGGATTTAGGACACTTATGTCTTCAGCATTGATCTTACCTCTCAAAACATATATATATATATATATATATATATATATATATTGTATTTGTGTGTGTGTGTGTGTATGTGCTGATACTGGGCCTTTGTATTCTTTAACTTTTCTGTTCCAGGCTGGTGTTCTACCACTTGAACCACACCTCCACTTCTGGAGGTAAGAGTCTCACAAACTTTCCTACCCAGACTGGCTTCAAACTCAGATCCTCATCCTCAGCCTCCTGAGTAGGTAGGATTACTGGTGTAAGCCATCAGCACCTGGCTACAATTTTACTTATTATAGTACAAATAGCCTTTAAAAACAAAATGGGCAAAATATCTGGCTTTTGATGTTCAGATGTTAATGGACTACAAGATTTAAAGTCAACAAAACTTGTTTATAGATCAGGTCTAGTGTGCCCTAAATAGTTTCCTAGTGAAAAATGAGATGGTCACAAGTCTTTTGAAATTGAAAATAAAACTTTTTTTTTTTTTTTGGGTCCAGTCATGGGGCCTGAACTCTGGGCCTGGGCACTGTCCCTCAGCTCTTCAGCTCAAGGCTAGAACTCTACCACTTGAGCCACAGTGCCACTTCCAGCTTTTTTCTTTTTGCTTATGTGGTGCTGAGGAATCGAACCCAGGGCCTCATGCTTGCAAGGCAAACGCTCTACCACTGAGCCACCTTCCCAACCCATAAAACTTTCTTTCCTTTAGGAGTTACATTAAAAAAAAAAATCTGCTTCTATGGGCTGGGAAGGTAGCTCAGTGGTACAAGCTTGCCTTGCAAGCATGAGGCCTTGGGTTCGATTCCTTAGCACCACATAAGCAGAAAGAGCTAGAAGTGGTGCTGTGGCTCAAGTGGTAGAGCACTAGCCTTGAGCTGAAGAGCTGAGGGACAGCGCACAGGGCCGGAGTTCAAGCCCACAACAGACAATAAATAAATAAATAAATCCCACTTCTAGTTTGAAACTACATAAAGATTAAGAAGGAAGAAAGGTCCAGGGCTTGATTTAAATTAGAACTTGAATTTCCCCAAGAATAAATCATGAATGTATACAAATTATGTTCAAGTTGGATAAAAATATGTTAAAATATTGTTAAGTAAATGAGATGGTGCCTCAGAGAAGGAGTATATTTGAAGTGATGGCATTTTAATCTTAGAGTTTAGTCAAACATAAAGTACATCAGCAAGTTCTGATTGTATATCATCATACAGTAACCTCCAGTACGAAATACCAGGTGAAATCAGAAAACAATCTTTTATGCTGCCTACCTTTATACAATTACTTAATCCTTCTCTGACAGCTGCCCCAAGGTTGTAGATTAACCTCTAGGGATTCCACCTTAGGGAGGTTTTTTTCCAAGACACAAAGAAACAATTTAGTGAAAGTGATGACTCAACCTAACAGCAGCTTCAGGCTTGGGCAGTTACAGCAGCAGGGACAGACTGTACCCAAGGGACCTAAAATAGTTAATGCACATTTCTGAGTGCTTTTGTCTGGTGGCAAGAGGTGGTGGATCAGTGAGGAACATCTGTCAGAAGGATGTTGTGAATGTTGGAAAGAAGCTGCAGGATGACAATCAAAAGCTCCTGTCATTTTCTGTCTTCCGTGTTCCCAAACTTCAGAACACAGTCTTACACTAATAGCAATCAAACCTAATTCACTCTTTATCTTTTTTGGATCTTACAATGATACAACCTTGGCTTCTGAAAATAAACTATTTGCTACCTTTTAAAGAGTAAGTTATGACCTTATTATAAGGGAAAGATTGAACATAAGTAAAAAGATTTCTGCTGGGCACTAGTGGCTCACACCTGTAATCCTAGCTACTCAGGAAGATCTGAAGGATCATGGTTCAAAGCCAGCCTGGGCAGGAAAGTCTGTGAGATTCTTATCTCCAATAAACCACCAGAACACCAGAAGTGGCACTGTGGCTCAAGTGGTAGAGCACTTGCCTTGAGCTGAAGAGCTAAGGGACAGCACCCAGAGTTCAAGCCCCATGACCCCCCCCCTCAAAAAGAAAAGAAATGGAAGGGCATAGTAGCCAGGTGCTGGTTGCTCATGCCTATAATCTTAACTACTCAGGAGGCTGAGATCTGAGGATCATGGTTCCAAGCCAGCCTGGGCAAGTAAGTCTGTGAGACTTATCTCCAATTAACCAACAGAAAACTGGAAGTGGAGCTGTGGCTCAAAATGGAAGAGCACTAGCCTTGAACAAGAGAGCTCAGGGAAGGAACCCAGGCCCTGAGTTCAAGTGCCACAGCAGACAAAAAAAAAGAAAAGAAAAAAAGAGAATAGCTTTAAGCCAGATGCTAGTATGCTGCTCAGAAAACTAAGACCTGGAGGATTTTGGTTGGAAACTAGCCTAGGCAATAAAGTTTACAAGATTCCATCTCCAGCTAACCAGTGAAGACTAGGCTGAAGGTGTGGCTCAAGTGGTAGAGAGCTAGTTTTAGCAAGAAAGCTGGAGCAAGCCTCAACATGGTTCAAGCCCTGGCACCTGCAAAGAAGAGGAATAAGCTTCATTTTAGTAGACTTAGACTAATTATAAAAGAAGAGAAAATAAGCCAGGTGCTGGTGTCTCATACCTGTAATACTAGCTACTCAGGATGCTGAGATTTGAGGATTGCGGTTCAACTCCAACCTAGGCAAGAAAGTCTGTGAGATTCTTATTACCAATGAAACATCGAAAAGCTGGAAGTGGAGTTCTGGTTCAAAGTCATAGAGCACTAGTCTAGAGCAAAAAAGCTCAGGGACAATGCCCTGAACTGAAGCTCCCAGAATGACACCAAAAGAGGGGGGGGAGGGGGAGGGAGAGGTAAATAAGACTTTTACAGGGGCTGGGAAGGTAGCTCAGTGGTAGAGTGCTTGCCTTGCATGCATGAGGTCCTAGGTTCGATTCCTCAGCACCACATAAGCAGAAAAAGCTGGAAGGGCTGGGAAGGTAGCTCAGTGGTAGAGTGCTTGCCTTGCATGCATGAGGTCCTGGGTTCGATTCCTCAGCATCACATAAGCAGAAAAAGCTGGAAGTGCACTGTGGCTCAAGTGGTAAAGTGCTAGCCTTGAGCTGAGATGCTGAAGGACAGTGCCCAGGCCCAGAGTTCAGGCCTCATGACTGGGGTGGGGGGGGTGGGGGGATGGTACTTTTACAAGGTTAGAAAACCAGTGAGATTTAAGCATGTCTATAATTTAAGCACTATCAAAGTATAGAGAAAAGGGTATAGCAGTTTGATAACTTAAGTCAATGACTAGCCTTATGATTTGCAATCTTGAAAAATTACTATAACTAACGTAAGGGCTGGGAATATAACTTAGTGGTAGAGTGCTTTCCCAGCATGCATGAAGCCCTAGGTTCCATTCCTCAGTACCACATAAACAGAAAAAGCTGGAAGTGGCTTTGTGGTACAAGTGGTAGAATGTTAGCCTTGAGCAAAAGCAGTTAAGAGACAGTGCCCAGGCCCTGAGTTCAAGTCCACGAATGGCAAAATTTTTTAAAAAAAAGTTAAAGAAACTCTCCTAATATAAAATACTGGTAAACAGAAGTTCCTAATGGGATAGAAGAGACGAAAAATGTGTATTTTGAACAAAAGCTGTAATAGAGCTAAGTGCCTATGGCCATACCACCCTGAATGTGATGTGCCAGATCTTGTCTGATCTCAGAAGCTAAGCAGGGTTGGGCCTGATTAGTACTTGGATGGGAGGTCTCAAGGCTGGGCAGCAGTGGCTCATGTCTATAATTCTAGCTACTCAAAACAAATCCTAGCCACCTGACAGAGGGCTGAGATCTGAAGACAGGTTGGAAGTCAGCCCAGGCAGATAAGTCAACAGGACTTTTATCTCTAACCATCAAAAAGTTGGGAGTGGTAAAGTGCCAGCCTTGAGCAAAAAAGCTCAAGGAAAATGCTCAGGCCCAGAGTTCAAGCTCTAGTGCAAGCGTGTATGCACACGCGCACACGCACGTGCACACACACGCACGTGCACACACACGCAGCAGTCTGGCACACGAATATGGAAAGGGAAGGTAGGGCTTTGTTTACTTTGTCAAAGTTCTGCATCTGTTCCCGATTGGTGAGCCAAGATTCCATGTCCTGGGCGGTCTGAATCACAAATGCTTCATAATCAGCAAACATCTGAGTAAAACGGTTGGCGAAGACCTCTCGCAGCTGTACATTGAGCTGGTAGTCCCGAAGCTCCACCTCTTCACACTGCAGCTTCGAATCCTTTTCTTTTTCACTCAGAGAGGAGGAGAGGTCCATTTTTTCTACAGTCACCCCAGTCCGCTTGGCTAGAGCCTGCAGGCGGGCTATAGTGTCATTGCCCTTCAGGAGCTCGTACATGCTGAGGTTATTGGTGGACACATTGCCATTCTTTTTGTCATTGACCAGATCTTTCAGAACTAGATTCTTCAATTTGGTGGCACTCTCACTGCTGTGGAGGCTGCCCTCTGGAGGAATGCCAAATTGAAAAAGAACCTCAGAGAGTTCCTGGATAAAATCAACTTTATTGGGGAACTGTGGAAACTCCTCAGGTAATTCAATAAAATGGTTATCGATATCCACAAAACACAAGTTAGCCTGAAAAAGGAAAAAGAAATACAAAAGTTGAAAGTAAAGGAATTTATGGCCTAAAATATTCTCAACAAATATTATTAAAACAACAACATGGGGCTGGGAATGTGGCTTAGTGGTAGAGTGTTTGCCTAGCAAGAATGAAGCCCTGGGTTTGATTCCTCAGTACCACACAGAAAGAAAAAGCTGGAAGTGGGCTGGGAAGGTGGCTCAGTGGTAGAGCGCTTGCCTTGCATGCCTGAGGCCCTGGGTTCGATTCCTCAGCACCACATAAGCAAAAAAGAAAAAAGCCGGAAGTGGCGCTGTGGCTCAAGTGGTGGAGCACTAGCCTTGAGCTGAAGAGCTGAGGGACAGCGCCCAGGCCCAGAATTCAGGCCCCACGACCAGACCCAAAAAAAAAAAAAAAAAAGCTGGAAGTGCACTGTAGCTCAAGAGGTAGAATGCTAGGCTTGAGCATAGAGAGGCTCAGGGCAGAGGCCAGGCCCTGAGTTCAAGCCCCAGGCCTGACAAATCAAAAAAAAAAAAAAAAGATGATATTGCATTTATCTTTTTTTTGGTGCCAGTCCTATGGCTTGAACTCAGGGCCTGGGTACTGACCCTGAGCTTTTGTGTTTACTCAAGCCACAGCTCCAGTTCCAGCTTTCTGGTATTTAACTGGAGTTAAGAGTCTCCTGGGCTTTCCTGCCCTGGCTGGCTGTGAACTGTGATACTCAGATCTCAGTCCGGTGAGTAGTTAGGATTACAGGGATGAGCTATCAGCATCCAGTTGCATTTTTCTTTAATTTTTTTTTTTCTGATCCACTTTTTCCCCCCACATTGTCTTTTATGTTAGCCACCTCAAGGCTCAGACTTTTTCTTTTGTGTCAGTACCATATGACTTGAACTCAGGGCCTTGTGCTCTTCTTACTTGGCTTTTTTGCTTAAGGCTGGTACTGCTTGAGCCACACCTCCACTTCTGGCTGTTTGCTGCTTAACTGGAGAAAATAATCTCATGAACTTTTCTGCTCAGACTGGATTCAAACCATGATCCTTAGATCTCAGCTTCCTGAGTAGCTAGAGTTACAGGCATGAGGCACCAGTATCTAGCTCCATTTTCATTTTGTATGGTATCTTCCTGTTATCCCTCTGTATCCCAGCTTCTCCCATGAGAAGCAAGAATACACTAGGAAACTGTACTCTACCGACTAAAAGGTTATAGTCAGATAGGAGTCCCAGTGTCACAGCTACTGGCCTGTCTGCATACTTCCACATAGGTCTCCTTTGCTCCGCTATGTCTGCTCAGAAAGAAGAAACAGGAAATACAAACTTGTGCTAGGAAAACTTCCTGAAGAAAGCCAAATCTCACACAACAGAATTATGCAAAGTTGCTTCCACTCTCCTAACATTATTAAATTTAAAAAATTCTATCAGAAGATCCCAAGAAGTACTGTACACATGAATTAAAACTGTATTGAACACCTCAAATAAACATGCTGTGAGAACTAAATACCATGTTTGTATTGATCAACCCCAACCAAAAGCTATCATGGACTTCTAGTCACAAGCAACACCATGACTAGAGGGTGTAGCTTACTATTAAGAGTACTTATGTAATATGAGCCAGCCTAGTTCAGATTGTAGCACCAGAAGAAATAATCAACACAAGTTCCCTCAAAAGTAAGAGAACAAAGGACTAAAACTTAACTCTTGTAAGCCTTCCTGTGTTTCTACCTTGAAGGCTCTTAGGAAGGGGAAAGTGGGGAGGGGAGGATGTGTGTGTGTGGGGGGATGAGATTGATTGGTATACAATGTAAACATGCATGGAAATGTCACCAATGATCTTCCCACCCCCACATACATATGCTAGTTAAGAATTACAACAACAACAACAAAAAACCCACAGAAAACATAGTAACATTAAGGTGGCAAAAAAGGGATAAAACTTTTGTTTTGCTGGTCATACTAATTTATAACATTTAGAATAGACTGATAAAATAGTCTCATACTTAAAAAATAGAGAGCATAAAGCATTTGATATTTCCATTATCAATCCAGCTAGTTGGAAGATATTAACAAATTCAAGCCTAGCATCAACGGCTCAGCTCCTAGCTACTCAGGAGGCTGAGATGTGAGGACTGAGGTTCAAAGCCAGCCCCAGTAGGAAAAGTGTGAAATTCACATCTCCAAAAAGCAAGAAGTGGAGGTATTGCTCAAGTAGTAGTGTCAGCCTTGAGCAAATGAGCCAAGTCAGAGCATGAAGCTGTGAGGTCAAGCCCCAGGAGTGGAGCCCATGTGCATGGCCACATGCACACACGCGCACACGTGCGCGCGCACACACACACTCACAAACACAAATTCACCTCACAACAATGATTTCAGAGGGATATTAAACTTAGGACACTGTGCTTAAAATGAAGTATCATTAGAATAATAAAAAAATGAGATCATGCTACTATTACTCAACCTTCAAAAATTGTGAAATTTTATGCTTATCCTTTTTTTTTGGTATCGGCTCGCAGCTGTCCAGGCTAAATGGTTATGTTGCAGCAACCATTAGGAACCACCATGCGTTCTAGGGCTCAGACCCTAAGCTAGCTATACATGACACTGTCATAGGACACATTAGGAAGACAAAGCTACTGAACCACATCTGGACCTTGAATGAACACACAGTAAAAGGTTCATCATTCATTGGAAGTTTACCTCTTGAGGAAGTTCCAGTTTAGAACGGTCAGTTCCTTCCTTGGACTGAAGACCCATCAGATAAGGGACAGGAGCATCAAGAAAGTGTAGTAGAGAGGCAGGGAGGATGGGCACATAAACGTGCTGCCACTGAAATGGGAAGAGAAGTGTAGTGATGCCTTCTGCCACAGTCATCAGGTGCTGATAATCTGCACAGGACAAGGAGAAATGGAAGGGAAGAGTCCAAGTAAACACATATTGCTGCAGTAAGCTTGAAAGTATCACAAAAATGTGATGCTAAAAATAAGCAAAACACAGACAAAATGTTTTTGGATGATCCTGTAGAAAATGTCAGTTCTAGCCCATCCTAACTGTATAATTGCAAAGTTCAATGATTTCCTTAACATTACTTTTTTGGTGCTGGTACTGGGGCTTGAACTTAGGATGTGGGTACTATCCTTTGACTTTTTCACTAAAGGCTATCACTCTACCACTTGAGCCACCTTCCCAGCCTGGCTGTACCTCTTTTTGCTGGTTAATTGGAGATAAGTATCTCATGGACTTTCCTGCCCAGGCTGGCTTTGAACTGTGATCCTCACATCTCAGCCCCCTGAAAAGCTTGGACTACATGCATGAGCCACTGGAGCCCAACTAAAGGTTATATTTTTTTTTAGTTGTTTTTTGTTCATATGAATTAACCCCTACAATCTATAATCCACAATCTCTAATAAAATCTGTGGAGTCAGTTTTAAGTTTAAAAAATTTTTAAAGGTAATTTGGTGTCTAAGCCATAACCTAGGGCAGCCATTGTAATCAAATACCTTAATATTTTTAAAGAAAATCATGCAAGTGTTTCAGTAGGGCAGAAAAACCAGAGACTACAAATAGGGCCACACTTTGGTTCATATCTGGTTTTGATGATACATCAGTTACAAAATGATTTTCAGTTACAATGAAGTTCAGAATTTTGGAGTTTAAGATTGATGACAAAAAAAAAAGATTGATGACAGCAGATGATGGATTTTTTTGTGGGGGAGGGGGCTGGTCATGGGGTCTGAACCCAGCCTAGGTGCTGTCCCTCATCTCTTCAGCTTAAGGCTAGCACTCTACCACACTTGAGCCACAGTGCCACTTCCGGCTCTTTCTTCTTATGTGGTGCTGAAAAGAACCCAGGGACTCATGCATGCAAGGCAAACACTCTACCACTGAGCCACCTTCCCAGCCTGAAGGGAGGATTTTTAAGAAAAAAATTTGGAGGCTACTTATCAATACAATGAACACATGACCAAGCATAAACAGAACGCTGACCTTTTTTTTTAGTTGTGGGGCTTGAACTCTGGGCTTGGGTGGTATCCCTCAGCTCTTCAGCTCAAGGCTAGCACTCTACAACTTGAGCCACAAAACCACTTCCCGTTTTTTGGTGGTTTAATGAAGAGCCTCATGGTCTTTCCTGCCGGGGCTGGCTTTGAACCACATTTCTCAGATCCAGCCTCCTGAGCAGCTAGGATTACATGTGGGAGCCACCGGCGCCCGGCTAATGCTGACCATTTTTAAGTTGGCTTGTGTCATTTTACAATTTTTAAATGACTGTCTTCAACAGTCTACAATGGGATTTTGCAGTGAATTGTCTACAGTCCAAGTGTACTGAAAAAAATTGTCCTTGCCAGGTGCCAGTAACATATGCCAATAATCCTAACTACTCAGGAGGCTGAGCTTTGTGGATCATGGTTCAAAGCCATGTTGAGCAGTAAAGTCCTTGAGACTGTTAGACTGTTTTTTGTTTTTTTTGGTCATGGGACTTGAACTCTGGATCTGAGCACTTCCCTCAGCTCTTTCAGCTCAAGGCTAGCACTCTACCACTTGAGCTACAGTGCCATTTCCGGTTTTCTGGTGGCTTATTGGAGATGAGTTTCACAGACTTTTCCTGCCCAGGCTGGCTTTGAACCACGATCCTTAGATCTCAGCCTCCTCAGTAAATAGGATTACAGGTATGAGCCACTGGCACCTGGCTTCCCTGAGACTCTTATCTCCAATTAACCACCAGAAAGCCAGAAGTAGAACTGTGGCTCAAATGGCAGAGTGCTAACCTTGAGTGATAAAGCTCATGGACAGGACTCAGGCCCTGAGTTCAAGCCTTGGGACTGGCACACACATATGCACACACATACATGCACAAACACATGTCCTTATTTGGAAAACTATTAAAATCATTTCAAGAAGGGGCAAGGGAATGGAGGGATATGACAGAGGAAGGGAAATTGATCAGGATACATTATATGTATGTGTAGAAATGTAATGAAAATCCCTTGCTGATAAAAATTCCTTATTTGATTAATTAAGACCAAGATTTAGGGAAAAACCTATTTACATGAATATTTTTAAAACAAACACCATCAGTCATATGAGCAGAGATAACTCAATTACATGACATGGCATGGACAAATGGACACACATGCACACCACCTCTCCCCCAGTGTAGGCAAGACAGACTTGTAATTAATTACAAAAAAAAAAAATTTAGAGAAATATCCTTAGATTCTATTCTGTGGTCATCCATTTCAGTCAAGGATTAGTTTTTATTTTCTAAAAAAGTTTGTAACCTCAGTATTTAGCACAATATCTAACATAATGTAGGCTCTCTCTCTCCTCTCTCTCTCTCTCTCTCTCTCTCACACACACACACACACACACACACACACACATACACACTGGGTTTTGAATTCAGGGCCTTGTGATTACTTATATGCTCTAACTGCTAAGCCATGCCTTCAGTACTTTTTTTGGTTATTCTGAGATAGGGCCTCTCACTTTGTTTTCAGTACTGTTTGGCTAGACAAGGTACTCTACTACTTGAGACAAAGTTCCACTTCCAGCTTTTTCTGAGTAGTTTATTAGAGATAAGAGTCTCATGGACTTTTCTGTCTGGGCTGGCTTTGAACCATGATCCTCAGGTCTCAGCTTCCTGAGTAGCTTATAGGCATGAGCCACTGGCATCTGGTTCCATCCCCTTTTTGCATTGGTTATTTTTGAGGTAGTTTTGAGTTATGCAGCCTGGGCTGCAATCCTCCTACTTTCTTATGTCACTGGCGATTACAAGTATATACCACAGTGCCCAGACAGTGCTTCCCCTATAGCTAGGAAGACAGGCATGTACCACCAAGCCCCGCCATTGGCTGAGATGGCTTTCAAACTTCTTTGTGTCTGGGCTGGCTTCAAAACATATCCCTAGGTCTCTGTTACCTAAGTAACATTATAGACTTTGGATCAATACACCTGGCTTAGGGTATCACTTTTTGTCCTGACAGGGTCTGGACCTCAAACCACCTAATTTTGTTTTCCATCTTTGTTAGGATGACACTCAGTTTCTTCTTTTGAATGCATTCTCAAGGATTCTTCTGCCTAGACTTACCTGGAACCATGATCCTTCTAATCTTATCTAGCCATGTAGCTGGGATGACAGTCAAGCACCACTGCCCACACTAGTAGGTATGGCCTGGGCCTCCCAAGTAGTTACAATTACAGGTATGAGCTACTATACCCAGCTCAATTTATTTTGGAGTAAATTAGTAACTTATTTGGATAAAAATGCACAAATATGCAAGTTTTATAATGTTAAGTAGATCAATTTTTGTTCTCAGGAGGTTAAGAACTATTTAGCTAAGAATGTTGACACATGCCTATAATCCCAGTATTGAAGAGGCTGAGGCAGGAGAATTACAGGTTCCAGGCTAGCCTGGGATACATAGTGAGACCATATTTATAGCAAATGAAATACCCAAAAAAAACTAACAACAAGAAATAACATGGACTAGGAGAGTGGCTCAGTGGTAGAGTGCAGGCTTACCAGGTGTGAGCACCACAAACAAACCAAATCATAAAACCTCCCTAAAGTGAAACTCTAGATTAAAAAAAAAGAACTATGATTTTTAAGAACATTAAATAGGAAAAAGAGAATTACTTAAAGTCCCTTTAATAATTTAAAGTAGGGGCATATTTCATCTCCAACTTCAGAATGCCTTAAGATTTTTTTTCTTTTTATGAAAAAAGGAAGAAGATTTATTTGGTTAAGAATTACTCATATTCAGAATGCTGAGATCTCAGGATTAAGGTTGAAAGCTAAGCCAGACAGAGAAGACCATGAAACTCTTTTCTTCAATTAACTAGTTAAAAACCTGGAAGTGGAGATGTGGCCTAAGTTACAGAATGCCAGCATTCACAGAAAAATCATGAGGCTTTGAGTTCAAATCCCAGTACCAGCAGCACATGCACGCACACATACACACAAATGCACACACACAAAATTACTTTTATAAATATGTCTTTTATCAATGCCCTTCAGTCAAAAAAATCCAGTAACAGATCTCTACTTGAGCAAGCTGGGTGTGTCCATTACTCATTTCAGAGAAGGGGAAAGCACACCCTTAGGGAAATATCAGTGAAGAAAGACTCTTGTACAGCATTTGGGCTTTCATTAGATAATTCTGGACAGGGTCTAAGAAAATGAAGACTTGCTTTGAATTGTGAGCTGTCAGAAATCAAGACAGTTCTGTGACAGTGTAGATATTCCAATAAATCTGATCTATTTATTAGGAGGGAAGATAGAGTATATAATAAAGCTAGGGATGTAGCCCAGTTCCATAGTATATGTGAAGCCTTGAGTTTGATTCCCAGTACCACAGAAACAGGTAAATAAAAAAGTTAAATAGCTTTGAGAGCTGAGCACCCATGTCTATAATCCTAGCTATTCAGGAGGACAGATCCGAGGATAATGGTTCAAACCCAGCCCATCAGGAAAAGTCTATGAGACACTTATTTTCAATTAATCACACACAGACACACAGAAGTGGAGCCGTGGCTCAAGTAGTAGAACATAGACTTGAGCAAAAAAGCTCAAGGACAGAGCCCAGGCCCTGCATTCAAGCCCCTGGATTGGCATATATGCAAAAAGTCAGAAGTGGAGATTACAAGAGTCTGAGGCCTTAGTTCAAGACCTACTATAGCATAGAAAGCACAGAGATGTTCCCTCAAACAGTATGAACTGAGTAAGTCTCCATGAGCCCAAAAGACAGAACGGAAGGGAAAGTGGCTGATATTCAGCCACTTTGTGGCTATGCCAAAAGCCTGCCAAGCAGCTTTCAGTAGCAATTACTAGGACAATGGGCTAGAAAATTTCCATCCGAAGGACAATTCTGACCTTGTATTCAGAGAT